GTCTCCAACCTAAATCCTTAGGTTCCTGGAAACAATTCAGAAGTTTTGAATGAGCGCATGGAGAAAGATGTTAATTCTAAATTGTTTCGACGCTGATATTAAATCATTTATAGCAAGTCATGAGTTCAGTACTGACTGCAGGCCATATCTGATTATCTTCGAAGTAGCTGTGAATCAGAGTTGCAAGTTGTTCGGAAGCTATGTTAATCGTAAGAAGAAAGAAGCAGATTTTTTTTACCATGTATACCATTCCGCAACGACTGACTGTAGCAGGAGACGCCATGGCCAGATTGTCAACCTCAAATAAAATCCTCATCCCGTGACCCATTTCTATCCTCTCTCCATTGGCAAGACACAACACCTGTCACGCAATAGGAAATGCTCAATTCAGTTTAATGTCACGCAATGTTTGTAAGGTTCTTGTTCTTAAGGGGAAAACAGAGGCACTGGGAACGAGGTTTCACTAATCACCTTTGTGTCATCCAATACGGTGTTAAGGTTTTCAATCCAGAGTGTATCCACAGGTCCGTCCATCACAATCCAGTGCCAAAAAATGGGCGTCTCCTCTCTGTTAATGTTACTGGCGTCTTCTGTCGCGGTCGCTGTTTCAACTGGCGAAGAAACAATTTGAGTGCTTTTCAAAAAAGTATTCGAAAAATTTCCCTAACCTGGTGTAATGTTGTCTTAATAATTTCGAGCGTTTTTCAAACCAAAAGCAAAGTGAACAATACAGCCAATGAGAACAAGGCAAAATATCATGAGCCAATGAGATCTCGAAGTAAACACGTGCATTCCTTGGAAGCACGGTAAAATCCGGGTAACCGAGTCCCTTTTTACGTCTGATTGGCTGAGGGGCTGGTGCGAGTTTTCCTGCGGTCCGGGACTCCGGATCGAGAGATTTGGGTTCTAGCCCCGGCCAGCAGTAGTCGTAGTCGTGTGCTTTACTTTCACAATACCCCTCTCCGCCTCAGAGTTTACACCGAATACGAATAGGGCGGACTACTCGGTCGGCCTGGGTTGAGTCGCACCTAAGCGAGGTTAGTAAGGCTAATGACTCAACCCAGGCCAAGCTCCTCCAGTAAATGGATCATCAACATGCGACGATTACAAAATGATGCTTGATCCGGGTTCTTCTGTGGGTCACTAGTTTTCCCACTGATTTTACTTACGACCAGAGGGGTCGCTATTTAAGAATGTAAAGTAGATGAATCTGAATTATGGGCTAAACGTAACAAAAACATAATTCAGATGTGATTTTTACAGAGCAATCTGAGACTGCTTTGGTATTGCTTTACTTCGCTCCCTGATTGGCCCAGAAAATTCCCGCCATTTTTTCAACCAATCAGAGGCACTTGGTCACTCATGCACTTCAGCGCGCTTCAGGCAGTTGAGTTCTCATTGGCTCTTTGAGGTATTTTCCTTCCTTCTGATTGGCCGTTGTGATCATTATCGTTTTTTCTTATATGATACTAAATCGAAGAGCACTCTATCAGTTACAACAAATCCATCGTAAAGCAAACTCTTACCTTCACTGTTCTCCTCACCACTGATAGCCGACACACTAGTGACAGCAGACTTGGCCGATGAGTTCCTTGATAATCTGAATGCGTTAGCGGGAGGTGTGCTCGACTGCTTTCGTCTGGTTCCTTGTAATACTCCTCTACTATTCTTAGCATATTTACGGTAAATGTGAGACAAGAGGCCATCTTTCCATTCCATAGTCGTGGAATTCACCTCGCCATATAGCTCACCTACTGTCACGCACTTGGGGTTCAGTGTGGATACATAGACTGAGCCACGCCTCGCTTTGGCGGCGCGCTGAGATGAACAAAGAGACAAAACAACAGCATGAATTGATTTAAAAAGCATGGATTTTCTGGCATCACAAGGTAAAGAAAAAAGTGGAATGAGTCATCGAACCAAACGGTTCATCTGGATCTGCATCTCATTCACTCTCCGCTTAAAAGTATATCAACATTGTACGGAAACTGCTGCTGGGTATAAACGATAAAACTGACCCATAACGAAAATAAAACGTGCAAATTCTCATACCGCGTGAGATTGGGCTGTCTTTGACGATCCAGTCTCTTCAGGGTAGTCCCCAGTCCCTTTCATTTCCAGCTGTTCCCGCGCTTGAATGCTCGGCAATACGACCAGCGCGCGCTTCAGGATCTGACGCGTGGTGGTTTTTCCGCCACCAGCTGGTCCAACCAACATCACACCATGCCGCACTTGTAATGTGCTGTTCAACTGAATCACCTTGTCGATCTGCGAGGGCCAATACTGAATAGACAACTCGCCTAGGGCGGCCTTAGCAGCTTTCTGAAATAAGAAATCCAAAAGGTGTTGTCTAACCATAACACAGATCACATTTAAATGAGGAGGAGAAACGTGCGCGTAAGAAAACTTGTTCAAAACTTTAAAACAATAATACCCTCCCTTCGGTGCTTACTCTAGATTGTGTCCACCACACAAATGAGTACTAGTTACGCTTGAAAATATAGAGAAACTTGACAGAGCTAAAGGACACTTCAATGAGACAACTTTTCCGCAAGGTTCACAGTAACTTTTTGCATAGGGGCTGAGCCCGAAAACGGCCGTGTAGCGGAACCTAAACACGAGAGCCTTGGCGCAGGCGAAAGAGGTCTTATTGGCGGCGTCGACCACCGGTAACCGACTTTTATTGAAAACTATGATTTGCGACGAACAGAATCGACTATGTAGGGGAAAAAATCAACTAAATATACTTTGCTAAGTTAGAAAAGCAGAACGAACTATAAATAAATCAGAAGAGAACAAGGCTGGGTACAGACGATGACGACAGTTTGCGATCAATCCATTTAACCCTTTGACCCCTTAAATGATTAGCATCTAGTTTCTCATTACAATTTCACTACTGAATCATATATTAGGGTCACAAGAATTAAGTAAATGATCACCAACTAAAGATACTCTTGATTGTTTGACAAATTCTCCTTGTCAGCACCTTAGGAAAAGTCTAGAGAACAGTATGGAGAATATGTATACTAATGTTAGGGTGTAAAGGGTTAACTTGGGAACTTTACGGCATATACTCAGTATTCTATTATCACCTTCAGCAACTTGTTGTCCGGAACTGGTGGATCTAAACCAGGAAACAAGTCTGCCAAGATGCTCTTAAACAATGGAACATCCTCTGCGACAAATTTGGGAATATTGGCGTCCTTCACTGCGTTAATAATCAGGTGTGATTCTTCTTCTTCCAATGTCTCAGACGCCATGTTAAGACTGAAAGAGAATAGGGAGGTATTATGAATCGAATCAGTCAGTCTCAACTTGTTTCTCTCTCGAAGTTTAGGATTTACCACATTGGAGTTGAGCCTGTCTGGAATAGCAATACGCTATTACCTTCTCTCCTAGCAATGATCGATTGATAAATTCTACTTTTATTTTTCATGCACCGTCAAGCGAACTGGTGGCGAAATTGATGAAACCATCGTTTCACAAATATTCCGGGTCTAGATTAATAATCTTATTTAAATGAAAAGCTCAAAAAGATCAGCAAAGTAAACGCCTAGGAGAATTAAAATATGTGTAGTTTTGCTCTGGTTTTGCTTTCCTTCGCTCTGTGATTGGTCCAATAAACCCGCGCTCCTTTCTCGACCAATCAGATCCAAAGTTTACACCAATCTCGGCTCGGTCACCCGCGTTTTCCGCGCATTCTGCTTGTTTTTACTTTAAGTTGTCATTGGCTCCTTGGAATATTACATTTTGTTCTGATTGGCTGATGAGGTTCTTTTAGTGTTAATTCAACGACACGTGATCGAAATGCGTTGTTAAGGATGCTATAATTACCTTGCAGCCCTTCTACGCTGTCCAGCCATAAGTAGAACTGATTTTATCGCTCGTAATCCGAAGTCATAGTGATCCTGCGTGATGAGAAATAGCTTTAACATTGAAGTATCTCAAGAAACAAAGGCGAGTAAACAATCGAAGGAAAGCTTCCACGCAGTGCTATTCATTACGATGCAAGAGGTATTTGGTGTATTACAAGATGGTTTGGTTTAATTAGCTGAGTTGAGAATGGAAATTGGCCACCGTAAAGAGTTTCTAAAGCTAATATTTCAAGCGTTAATTATTTAGTTCGAGCCCTAGTTTGAAATCACTCCCATGAAAGCTATTACCTTCTTTCGATTAGTACATAGAGCAAAATGAGAAACCGGCATAAAAATTACATTTGTCCACTATCTAGAGTAACGTTAATTGCCTTAGAGCTTTGTTACCTGTTGAGAAAGCTGCTTGCTTGCCAGTTGATAAAGATTCACAACCTTCCCCGACAACAACGCAGCGGCAGTGAATCCTTCAGAAAACAGAATTATTTCGGCGATTAACGCATAGTCGGGTACCATCATGGCAACTGGACGGAATAAAGATTTCAAATTGTCCGGCAGCTCGACTCTACCCGCATATCTGAAAACAATGAAACAATTCGAATTATTTCAGGTTCCAAAATTAATTCAATTTCCGAGATCCTTTACGATAAGCTTCATATCATAAAGCAAAACCCTTCTTGAATGAGCAATTTTCAATTGAGGGTCGGTAATCCGAGATTGCCATGGTTTTGCTTCAATTCTCTCTGTAATTGGTCTAGAAAACTTGCACCACTTTCTCAACCAATCTGATGCAAAACTTAAACCAATCACGACTTGGTCGTCTGCGTTTTCCCGCGCTTCAGGTATTTTGCTTGTTTTTACTTTGAGCTCTTTACGGTGTTCTTCTTTCTCTTGATTGGCTGATGTGGTTATTTTGGTTGATGTTTTACAACGCTCAATCGAATTGTGCTCCATAGCTTACCCTGGGTTCATTGTAATAAACATTCCACAATTTGTATTCAGCTTTATATCCCGTCCCTCAAACAGAAACCTATAAAACAAACGCGTTCATATATCAGATTAGAAAAGAGAAAAGGTGACAGGCCTCACCGTTTAAATTTTGGATAAAAAGATGCGTTTCACGACGAACTAAAACAAATTACTGGTGAAAAAGATAGTCCTTACGTCGGGAATGCGCAAAAGGATCAATTTTGGCCTGCCAATTTCCCGCGCAAAATTACAAAGGAAAACACGAGAAACAACTGCTGTAAGGCCAAATATGGGAATAAAAAACGTTGACATCTGGAAAAGAAAATGTAGAGAAAAGGAAAACTTTAGACTTATGGTACACAAAGCTAACCTTCTTTCATGGTTTACCATTTTGTTTTGAGATTCACATAAACATTTTTACTTTAGTGGTTGTTTATAGGAAAATTTGGTTTTGACATCCTGAAGGCAAATCAGCTAGCCTCTCCAACGGTCGTAATGCGCAGAAGTTTGACCACTGTGTTCCAATAATTTGACCTGCCTTACCTGGTTACGTTATTATCTTTAGCTGTTTTAATAGTGTGAAGCTGTTGAGCGATGACTGATAACACTTCTACATCGATACGATTGAATTCATCAAAACAGAACCACGATCCAGATTGAGCTAAACCGGAGAAAAACTTGCCCATCATCTAGTACACAAACAAACAAACAAACAAACAAACAAAGTCATGAGGTGAAATCCTTAAAAAAAAAATCAACATAAAATATGTCAATACCAATTCGTATTGTTTCCAAAAATGTGTAACATTAGCCTCGCCATTTTCAAGTTTATAGTATTAGAGAATTTACGCAGAGAAGTTTTAGAGACGCGGACGGCAACAGGAAGAAGAAGAAAACTACTCCTGCGTTAACGCTAATGTAAAAACCGTAGGGTTGCCGTTGAAGCATTTTAAACCAAACTGTGCCGGCCAAAAAGGTGTAATGAGCAGCAGGAATGAGAACTTTTAACTTCCTTCTGCCGTCCGCGTCTCAAAAACGTTTGTGCATAAGCTCCCTTTGACCAGTGTACTTTGAGAAACAGCGTTTGTTTAGAGTCCTGTCAGGGAGTTAGACAGAGTGTCATCACTTATTGACGGGGAATATAAAGATAGATATTATCATAAAGAAAATTTCAACGGTGTAACAACTAGGAATGCTGATTATTTTTCAGTAAAAGAAGAACTTTGGAGTATTCCTTTTTACCCGGAAATCTTCTGAGTCAAATCTACGCGCGTCTTAAGAGAGCAACATAATACCTCTTCCCCCGTCGAATTAGGATGACATTTATTGAAACAATCTTTACGGCTAGTTGCAGTTCTTTTCAAGACAAACAACAGCAAATGCAGAGTACGTCATTTGAACAAGTAATCACTGAGAGAGAATCCTCAGTGTAAAACTGAACATCTGGTTACCTTATAGTCAAGTCCTTCAGAACAGTTGAACACAAGACACTGCTTTCCCATGGCCTGAAAACCAAACATACCATGAGTGTGTCAGTTCACTTGAAAGACAGTTTTTCAGGAGAAATCATTCGCCATTACGCACAAGAGCAAAGGGGACAGAATGGGACAAAGTATAAAAACCTAAGTCCCCATGAGGAATCAAACCTAAGACGACCTTTGGAGTTCGTGCCCCAATTCTCTCCCATTGGGCTTTAGAGAACTCTACGAAAGTTCACCCATTATTTGCTCCATACAAGACACGCGTCCTTAATTCTGAAAGGATTAGCAATGTCGAAAAGCATGGAAATTTTGAGCTGATAATGATTGTAGAAAGGTGTTTTTTTTTCGTCCTATGACGGGAATGAGACGAAACATTTTCTATATATATATTACTTGCCCCGCGCTCGTTACGAGACAATACATCAGTATTCTTTATGAAAAGTAAGTACTTTTTAGTAAATACCTTGGCAAGATCCTTAACAGTCTCTGTTTTACCAGTCCCCGCCGGTCCGGCAGGAGCGCCATTAAGATGAAGATTGAGTGCTCCAGTCAGTGTCAGATAACATCTGTCAGTCAGTGGGGTAATGACCAGCCGAAGCGAACAGCCGAGATATTCATACCCATATTCAAACACTGCATTACTGTGACGGACCATACAGGCTTGCCGCTCGTCATTCCACTCGTAACGCAGTTGCCTACAAAATAAGAGCATTCCTGCCTGTTAGAGAGTTACTCCTACTTCAGTGGGCAAATAGGGGAGTGGTATTAGAGCTCTAAGTACCAAGGTATTTTAAGAGTCATTGCCACATGGAGAGCATTAAGAGAGAATTTGCCGTTGAAAACCTTTCCGAAGACAATTTCGGTCTTTATGGCATGATAAGAAACTTTGATTAAGCATCAGCCTTCTTTTTTCCCACACCATTGTGTATGTGGATAGAATCCTGGGGGCGACAATTCACGCATAGAAATCGATAGTGAATGATCTAGTTTGTTTAGGAGTACGTCTACTCGTTGTGCAAAATTTAACCACTCCACTGAATCATGTTTTAATTGAATAGAGCGCCTTTCGATTGCATGTCCTAAAAACCAAAACCACAGTAATCACAAAAGCCAGTCTGAGGAAAGGAAAATACCCTGAAAAACAAATGAGAACTTAAAGAAAAACCGACCAAACTACCTAAAGTGCGGGAAAATGCGGGCGACCAAGCCACGATTGGTTTTACTTTTGCATCTGATTGGTTGAGAGAGTGGGTGAGTTTTCTGGACCAATCACAGAGCGAAAGCGGAAAACAAAGAATTCCCGGATTACTGTCGTCACTCAATTGAAAATTTCATTAATGACAGAAAAGGGCAAATGCTATTTACTTCACTCCTTATCTACCACGGAAAAGATAGCGAGTTCTGTGTCAACTACTTTTTGACGGGTTGTAGCAAATATTTGTGCCGCTACCTGGTCCACTGAAAATCCTCCATCTGATAGACCTGATTAGCAATCATGGAGTCTAGGACATCACGGGCATGCACTTCAATTGTTAACAGGGCCTCGAGTGTTTGGTGCTTGTGAGGAACTAGTGATGACGTTACCATCTGTGATAGACTGTGGAGGACTGAGACTAGTTTTTCTCTCTTGTTCTGGAGAGCTTCTTTGGGTCTTGTTGTACGGAAACACGTCAGTACGTCACGATTAAAGACAATTTGAGACTAGAATGAGAACAGAATTTGACATTTACCGATTTAATTTGATACTTAAAGAGATTAAAAATGCGCAAATATTTATTAAATTCATGCGTTGGAAAGTTTATCCATCAACCCGTCAATTGTGAAGGAAAATTCGGGAGGGAAATACTGAAAATTCAGAAAGAGATTACCGATAAAACTTGTCAGGACGAGAGTGCATGTTAATCAATGTTGATATAACACGTTCTACTGGTGCGAAACGAGTTGAAAGACTTGAGGGTGAACTGGTAAAGGCGGGGTGGAGTTGTTTTATTACAGGTGGCAAACTCGCAAAGGTGGTAGAGAGACAAACTTGCAATAGGGCGAAAGAACATTTAGTACTTTTTGATATTGTGTTGAACTTAAACACCCCTGAATTTCAAGTCGAAGAAACTAAAAGGAGGAAAACTTGGAAAATAATAATATTCCCTTGTGTTTTAAGTTTATCACTTACTACAGTCAGTATTGCTTGTCCCGGATGAGCCAAAACCCACGCAGAATACTCTCTTGTACCATAATCCACTAAACACTTTTTTAAGTGCCTGTCGTATAAACAGAAAACAAACGTTGAAGCAATTCAGTTAAAAAAAAAACGATCTGAGACATGAAGTTATTTGGTATTATCAACCGAGTTGATAATGTAAATTGGCTATATCAGAGCGAATGACGAAGAGCTAACACTCGAAACATCAGCTTTGAAACTCTTTACGGTGGCCAACTCAGCTGATAATAGCAAATTACCCTGTTATACTCTCCCACCGACACAGCACCACAGTTACTTTAGAAACTCATTCCCTTCATTCATCGATTTAAGAACTGACTTTGAACCTCTGGAACACAAACATAAATAGGAGACTGCCTGAGCATCACGTTACTAAAAAGGATACTTACATTTTGACAGTCTCATACATAGCAAGCTCAACATTGTACAGCCATGACTCCACGTTTCCTCTCGCTCTTAAAGTTCTATTGGAGGAAAAGAAAAGGCTGAGGTCAAAAGACGCTAGGTAGACAAGAACAACCGGACACACCATTTTAGTAAAGTCATTAACTTGTGTTCGATGTGTTTGAACGCAAGCCAAGAACAGTGGATCTAACAGATTAAGGCCAATCTTAATTGTTAGTTCCCCAAGAAATTAAACTAACAAAAAAGGCAATATCAAAAACTCTTTCCCACGGCTTTACCCAAGAACAAGGTTTGCCTAATCAGCGCAACGCCTCAGAACAAGCTTAATGTTAACTGAAAGGGTTTGTTTTCTTACTTAGGCAGTAATACACTTTCCCCTTCCTCTGAAGTCATGTTCTGGATCTGCGCTGGCGAGTGTACTTGACGAACAATGCCCAGCTGATAAATGCTCCCAAAACACTTCCTCAGGTGAGGCTGTTGTAGAAAGAAAAAGGCAAAAAGAGAACAAAATTAGGTAGGTTTTTTTTAACAGCATCTGGCAGCCGTCAAAATTCTTGTATATATCTTACGTTTTCCATCTACAATTTGATTGCGACATTACCCAAGATTTTACGGCACGTCGACATACTTCAATTTACATGATACGAAGAATATGTTTAATCCTTTAACCCCTAAGTGTGACTAACATCTAATTTCTCCTTCCAAAATCACCCCTGAATCAAACATTAAGGTCATGAGAATAAAGGAAATGATCAACAACTAAACTGGGAAGCTCTTGATTGTTCAACAAATTCTCCTTGTAAGAACCCTAGGAAATGTCTAGGGAGTAGTGTGGAGAATATGCATACTGATGTTAGGGAGTAAAGGGTTAAGAGGGTCAAACTTTTAAAATTATCACTTGGAGAACTCCCTGACCCCCCACCCCCCAAAGCTCATTCCTAAACTTTTATCACCTACTCTGATTCTTACTGAAAACACTTGTTCGGTTCCTGGGGAAAACAAAGGATTTATTAATGTTTATGCTGGTTTACACACCTGAACAGCATTGGGATTCTTGCTATTGGCCAAAATGTCAAGCAAGTCTTCATTGCTAAGGAAGTAAAATCTCGCAAACACCAGTCTCTTTGTTTCAAGGTAGTCCTTAACATTAAAAAAAAAACCAGAAACATTACGTACAAATAATAAACACAAATACAGCGAAACATCTTTAAAGCACACGAAAGTCTCAAGAGCTCTTATGGGAGACGACTAAGCTCCCAATTCGTACAAATAACAAAAAAGAAGTCGTCTTTTACAACGCTTCAACCTCCAAGGACTAAATCTAAATTCTCTCCTCTCGGTTTGCCATACATGTCTTATGATTATAAACCTGGTAATTTGGTGTCAAATAAAAAAATCCTTATTTGAGTCTTTTCGAACTTCTGATTACTATCTAATGTGAATTGTTGGCCATAAGAATATCACCGGTATTCTCACAGATGGATTATTTAAGAGTTATAATGTTTTTATTAAATCTACTATGGAAATTCACCTCTAAACATCTGTGAATTTTCTCTAAGTGAGAGTTACTTGCTTGCAATACCTCCAACACACCTAACAGTGGCCAAAATGCAAATGTACAAACGCAAGTTAAGACTATCACATGATTAGTCACATGATAGCTTTTATATTGAGTGGGAAGTTATGATTTGTTATTTTGTCGTTTTAATTAGGGTGGAATGGGTCGTGTTCTTGTGAAATTTGAGTATGAGGATTCCTGCTTCTGATCTTCGATCCCGCTCTCCTGCCCGCAACCGTACATGTACTTCGATTCAATTCTATTCCATATCCTGCCAACCTCTCTCAAAAAAGCAAAATTTCATGGTCATGGTCCATGATGCAACCCAACTACCAAGAGGCCAGTAAATTTCCAAAAATTTCTCATTCACAAAATATGAACAGAATATCATCATCACATGCACAATGGCTTAAGTGTCGTGACACTTCTCATCCATGGTATTATTTGAATCGTCGTGCAACGCTCCTTCCTGGTGTAACGATCCGTACATCATTTAGGCATGACCAGTCCTGAAAAAAGCCCCCCGGCCAATCTAACATGGGATCAAAAGTGTCTTTTTGTCTTTTTTAACAATGATTGTTACCTGCAGCTGTTGAAGCCCTCAAAGCATTCGGTTTATCAGTAGTTCTTCTCATAATGTCTTTCCATGATTTGTCTACTTGGGCAAACAGGCGGGCTTCATTTGGCAGTTGCCTGTCAAAATAAAAAAGCATTTGGACTATGACTTAGCAAATTGGTTTTACTTCAAAAATGTTTTTGTCTTTCAAACCAAAACATTAATCTATTTTTTATTTCAAAAATGTCCTTCCCCTTCACCTCTTTGATCACATTGTAGTTGAAAGTTACGGTATGTCGAAATGCATTCTTCCGCTTTCGCAAAAATCGAAAAGCGGTCTAGAAGACAATTTTCCCACCTTTGAATGTCAGCCGCTGAAAAGATTGTCTCTAGATAGAGCCAGTTCCGCTGACAGAGAAGCCATTCATCCAATGTGCTGGCAAACAGTTTCAATTTTCTGTCCCATTCTTCAACCAAAGCCTAAGAATATTTCAAAAAAGACACAAGTAACACATTCATCCTTTACCAACAATGTTCAGGTTCCTTCTGGAGCCATAAGAAATTCCTGAACCCTTGGAGTGACCAGCACCTAATTTCTCTTTACAATGTCACCCCTGAACGAAACATTAGTTCACGAGAAGAAAGGAAATGATCACTAACTAAATAAGCTATTGATTGTTAAACAAATTCTCCTTGTCTGCGACTTAGAAAATGAGTGGAGCATAGTATGAAGAATATACATACTGATGCTAGGATGTAAAGGGTTAGGAGCTGTATGACTGGTTGAATAAGCGCTCTATAGACTTCTCGTCGGCCTTTTGACAGTCGTACTAAATGAATCGTTCCTTATTCCTTTACATCCTAATATCAGTATGCATATTCTCCATACTGCTCTTTATACATTTCCTAAGGTGCTGAAAAGGAGAATTTGTACACCAATCAAGAGCTTCTTTCAATGGAGATCATTTCCTTTATTTTCATGACCTTAACGTGTGATTCAGGGGTGATATTATGGGGAGAAATTTTGATGCTAGGTCACTGTTAGGGTTTAAATGATTATTTAGCGTAACTGGTTAACATTTTATCAACCTTACAATACCTTGATTGGCGTGACAAAACGTGACCCTCTGATGTTAGAAAGCGTGACCTGGCTCTCTTCTACAGCTGTTATAATATCATCAGCACCTGTGATAATAGCAATGTCACGGCTTACGTGGGCAGACAGCTGGAAGTCTGTGTGGTTCCAATAGTCCATCACCTGGAAGAGAGGCAGTTATGAGCACTGTAATCAAACAACGGCTAAAGAAGATAACACCTCCCATTCATAAGCTTTCATACACTGAAATTTGTTCGTATCCTAGCTTGCCATTTTGAATCGTACTCATTTCCTGGTAAGTTTATGTCCGAATGACAGTAACTAATCCTGCCTTAACTGAAAACCAAAAAATATGGCACCCATGATTACCGATAATCATAACCATTACAATTTCCTCAAATGTGATTGGTGCACTAACTGCTTTATATCGGACAGTGTAATCGGACATTTGGCTGTAATCGGACACCTGTAGTCGGACATTTAAAGCAATCATGCTAAGTCCACTCAGCTAAATCCACCAATCACAGAATTGATCACAATAACCATAGCAACAACCATTTATCCTGGAAGAAACTGGGAAATTTTCAAAATGCCGAAATTTTAAAATTTAGACATTGTCTCCACTGGAGATATTTGTTCTAGATGTTTTTTTTTTCGGAAATTGTAATGGTTATGATGAATCGTTTACAGGACTTCGTGTCGTCCAATTCTGTTTGTAATCATACTCATGATAAACAAATCGGACTCCCGCTTCGAGTTCGTCCGATTTTGTTAATCACTTGTATGATTACAGACCGAATTGGACTCCACTTAGTCCTACTATTAATTGTTAATGAATTATTAATTATTTTTACATGTCAACAGTACTGTTTACCTTTTGCAGCATTTGTTCCAGCGTTGCTTCGTTACTTGCCTGCGAAGATATGTCCGAAATCTTCTCCCTGTGTTGAAACACCTGAAAGTAATAACCAACCAGGTTTTTATTGATCAAGAGAGCAAATTTCAATCGCGTGGCGAAAGTAATCCGAAATTGCATTGGTTTTCATTTACTCCGCTCTGTGATTGGTCTAAAAAACACGCGCCACTTTCTCAACCAATCAGATGCAAAACTACTACCAATCACAACTTGGCTGCCCGCGTTTGCCCAAGCTTTAGGTAGTTTGTCTTTTAAAGATATTTTTTTTCCTTCTGATTGGTCGTTGAGATAACTTTTATTTTAGTTTTTCTACAGTCAAACAACAGGCGCTCTAAAATCCATTAAATTTTCACTGTTTTTACGGTGTACTTTAAGAGTAACTCGGTGAGCCCATGATCTGTCAGTGTTGAGAATAACTCATGATACTCTAGCTGTATGACAAACAGTTACCTTGAGTTGTAGTAGGTGTCCTAAAGTGAAATATTTGTCACGAACGATACGTGTTCCAATAACATTTTGGATAGCTTCCCAGTGTCTGGTTCTCAGCGCAGGATTTCTGAGACTTGTAATTACTGGCATGCCTTGTTTAAAGCTCACCACCTTTTGTTTCAATCTCGGTACAACTTTGTTTGGTGGAAGACCTGTGATTGGAAGTACATTTAAAAGAACTTCAAAGGAGTTCTATCGCACTTAACCCTTTAATCCCTAAGAGTGACTAGCATCAAATTTCTCCTTACGAAATCAGCCCTTAATCAAACATTAAGGTCATGAGAATAAAGGAAATGATCACCAACTAAAGAAGCTCTTGATTGTTGAACAAATTCTCCTTATGAGCACCTTAGGAAATGTATAGAGAACGGTGTGGAGAATATGCATACTGATGTTAGGGTGTTAAGGGTTAATACTTCAGAGCTGTTTTACATGGTGTCGAAAGTAATCCTGGATTGCATTGGTCCCCGTAACTTCGATCTATGATTGGTCCAGAGAGCCTTCTGAACCAATCAAATGCAGAACTACAGCCAATCACGACCGGGTGGGAAGCGTTTTCCTGCGCTTGACGCCGGTTGCGAGTTTCAACCATGCGATTTAATTATACCCTTTGGAATTTCTCTCTGCTCTGATTGGCTACTGTGATTATGGCTCTAAAACACTCACTAGAAAGCGTTCAGCCGATAACACATTTGAATTTTCTAGCCAGGCCTTTCCACAAATAATATATCTTTTGAGAATTCTCCCAAACCTTTGAAAAATAACCAAAAATGAAGCCCAAAGAGAGTTCTAGTTGTTCTACCTTTTTCCAGTAAGAACACAGTCTGTATAAACCTTGTGACGTCATGCTGTACTTCGTCGATCTTCAGGGTCTCAAATGGTGTGGCCTCCCACTGGTCGACCAATCCCTGCCACTCCTGCAAGGACTCCCATAAAAGGCACCTTAGAGTCAAGTCCTTCTCAACTTCTATCACCTCAGACTGCAGAGAAGTGGCCTGGGGACTTGAGTGGCCTGTCATGGTGGTCATGGCTCCCCTGAAAAAGACACGAAAAGAGAAAAAGCTATCACCCCTGGTGGCAATGAAGGCAGGGTGCGTTAACACGAAGGGTCAAAACTTCGCTTTGTGTTTCTTTTAGTGAGTCGTCACTTGTAGTCTCAGAACGAAACCCCATTAACAAACTTTTGTCTACGGCACTTTAACATTTTCTGTTTAATCCATTGACCTTTAAGAGTGACTAGCATCTAATTTCTCCTTAAAGTATCACCACTCAATCAAACATTAAGGTTAGAAGAATAGAGGAAATGATCACCAGCCAAAGAAGCTCTTGATTGTTAAACAAATTCTCCTTGTCAGAACCTTGGGAAATGTACAGAGACCAGTATGGAGAACATGAATACTTCGGTTAGGGTGTAAAGGGTTAAGAGGTGATCTGACGCCATTTAGGACAATAAACACACGTCGAGCCACCCGTGAAAATCACACAGTAAATTTACGTTCATTTTTCAAACGATGCTTTTCTTAACACCGCTAATGTAAGTGCGTACTACCGCGCGCAAGCGGATGTTAAATGGTCCTTCCCTTCACAGTGTATTTCCATGATAAAGTACATCTTTTATACCGGTCAAAATGTAGAAAGAACAAAACTTACTCGGTCAGAGCCTTCTTCTGTAGAGAAGACGACATAGAACTTCCAAAACGTTCCTGATATGTGGCATAGTTACGAGCCTTGGTTGACAAGTTAGTCAGGTCTTCTTTCAAAAGTTTCAATTTTTCTGTGGCGACTTGAGGAATATTATCAGCATCCAGTAAGACAGGAGAACAGACCTTGTTTTTAATGACAACCAGTTCACGTCGAACTGTGTTGATCAGTTCATCAAGAGCTCTACTGTATCTCTGGATGTTTTCATCCTTTTTTGCCTCACAGTACATGATGGTTGACTACAAGAACGATATTTAAAGAATCAGAAATTGAATGAAGAGAAAATAAGGAAGTGTCTCTACAAATCAAGACGCTTACCTCTATTTGGCTATCAAAATAAAAGAGGAAACTTAGCAGTGGACATTCCATAAGGTGGCTCTTCTTGCCTGCTGTTTCCAGGTCGAAATGAAATTTGGAATGTTGGTTTTTGTGGAGAGAGGAAAACTGGAGGACCGGAGAAAAACCTTTTGGAGCGAGGACGAGAACTAACTAAAAACTAAACCCAAATGTGACGCTAAAACCGCGAATCGAACGTAGGCCACAGCCCTAAGAGGCAAATACTTCCACCGATGCGCCATCCCCGCACCGCGAAATTACAATTGATGTAGATTTGTAATCAAACTGGTCATTACCTTCAAATGTTGAAAACTCGGCATGAGCATCTGATACAGAGCAAGCTCTTCCGCTGATATCGTCATCTCAAAGTTCCGTGCGATGCTGTACATGCGTGTTACGATGTGATATTCATGCTCTAAAGCGGAGATCTCATTTGCCATTCGCGACAAGAAGATAAGGTGTTCCACAAAGGCTTCTACAGTCTCTGGCATTTTATCGAGCTTTCTTGAAGCGTGCTGAGGAAAAAGAAAAGTAAGTTGTAGTCTGCAATTGTTTCTCGACTAAGTTCTATAAAGATTACTTTTGCAGTGCGTTCCTTAAATAAGACTGTAGGGAAGAAAAAAACGCCGCACCTTGATTACATTCAGCAGTACATCATTTCGTTTGGCCGCAATGACAGGAAGGTGGCAAGCCACTGCTTCAAGAACCTTCTGAGGGTAAGGAAGACAGTCGCTTTGAAAGCCAGTTACTTCCACATGAAACAGTCCAACTCGTTTGTGCAACACCATCTTGGACATCTCAAGAACCTGAAATAATAAAAACAAAATCGATAACACACGTTTAAAATCTTAATTTTTCTAATATTCTTCGCAAACTGGCTGCCTAGAACAATCTACTTTATTCTCGAAATTATTTAAGACGAACTGTCTAACCTCTTCCGTGTGCTGATTGAGAACAGCATAGAACTCTTCAGTGTTCCACTCCCTTTCTTTGAGGGAGCCATCAACATCCACCCTCCGCGACTTGTCCACCATGACACAAAATCTCTTATATTTCTGATAAGCAACAAATACAAAAAAAATTGACAAGGTTAGGTCTTTTTGGGTTCATGTTTTGCTTTAACACACTGACCTGGAGAACATTATACGCGAGGCTGGATTTAACCGTACAGGAGCAGTTTTCAAAACTCATCTATTTTCATTTATATATAGTACTTTCTTAGGTTAAGTTAGCGTTTAACTGTTAAGCGGTGTTATTGTATAATCTTTCCTTCTTAATGAGTAATATTAGCACATTAATGCGCATCCCAAACTAAACCAAAATGGTAAATCAAAAGGATGAGCGTAATTCAAAAATAAGCTTTGAGTTAGAAAAGTCTCAAGTCGTCCTTTTCTCAACTTTTGCTTCCTTTGAACATTCAACTTTCATGCAATTTTTTACGTGACAGTGGTGTTTTCCTTTGAAATTTCGCGCGGGAAATTGCGCGCACGGCTGGCCAGAATTGACCCCCGCGCGCATGACCAACGCTGCATTCAATCCGCGATTAGCAAGTTAAATATTACGCTCGCAGCCCTCCCTATCTGCATTCCCATGGAATATCACCTTTGAAAAACTGAGTACGTTATCCACTTCATCCTTGATCTGATGAAATATTTGGCCAACGTCATTCTGATAATCAGGATCTTGGCCAAACAGCAGCTCTGAATCTGGCCACGGAATCTTCTTCGCCTTTTCCTCCTCATACACATCACGTGACAAAGCATATACTACGTCACTTGCTGGTGGATTGACATAGACCGACAATTGTGGATCATGGACCAAACTTTTGAATGAAGCTGCAGTTTGTTCAAAGCCACATATAATGTCGAGGAGAGCAATCTCAAATTCCTGAGAAGAATTTATACGAGAGTAATTCGTAATGTTGCGTGAAATTTAACACCTGGGAGTCCTGGGGGCCAGGTCATTATTGGGAGGGGGGGAAGGTGTGGAGGATTTTTTTAGGGGGATCACATGGTTTTTAGGGGGGGGACAGTTGTCGCCAACAGAGTATAAATGGGGGACTCAAGAAAATTAACTGCCAATGAGGAGAGATCTTAAAAAAATAAAAAGACATACCGACCCGTTAGTTTAAATCAGGGAAGGGCTGAACAATAGCTGTGCTAACTGTTTTGCTCATAAAAAGTGCGATAAAGCCTAATGAATTTTGAAGCAATTCGCTGAAACCTTGGATTTCGAAAGCCGAAGAAATCTCTTGGTCAAAGCTGAACTCGTCCTAATAGTTAAAGGCGATTGTCAGCATTCTTAAAAGTCTACCTCCGTTGATCGAATCTTCGTTAACTTCACCGAACTTCGCGCTAACTTGTACAAACATTAATTTCCCCTGGGTTTCCGGAACAAACTCATGTCACGTTTGTGGCTTTATTTACCTGTTCTGTTGGTCTGAGAGAAACAAAAGACTTTGACGTCATAGAGGTTCGAGTGCCAGTTGACATAATTGAAGGATCTTTTCCGGATGTGACAGTCATGGTGTCATCAGCAAATGATGTTCCATCACCAGTGTAAGGTGTGGATTTCCCTTCTGTCCGTGATCTTTGGGCAGATTGAACATCAAATGTGACGGTCTTTCTGTCAACTGAAAACCAAAGTATACGCATTTGCATCGGTGATTCAGTCTCTATATTGTGTACAACACCATGGAGTTGTGTCTGCAACTAGTGCGTGGCTCTCAGTAATAGAGACAAGGAAAAAGAGAGCGGCAAAAATGACAAGCAAATGGATGCACCGGTCGCGTTTCTCCGCTTATTTCCCGAGCGCCATTTTTCGCGCACCCACCATTTCGCTCGTCTTGCCTCTCGGAGAGCCTGGTGCAAGCTACAGTACTATGTTCGGTGTTCAATTTTCTAGACCCTTATCCCTTTGACCCCTTAAAGTGACTTGCATCTATTTTCTCCTAACAATATCACCCTTGAATCAAGCATAAAGGTCAAGAGAATAAGATAAATGATCACATTCCAGAAGCTCCTGATTTTCAAACAAATTCTCCTCATCAGAACCATAGGAAATGTATAGAGAAGGGCATAGAGAACATGGATACTGACCCTTTGACCCCTATGATTGACTAACATCTAATTTCTCCTTACAATATCACCCCTAAATCAAACATGAAGGTCATGAGAATAAAGGAAATGATCACCAACTAAAGAAGCTCTTGATCATTCAATAAATTCTCCTTGTCAGCACCTTAGGAAATGTATAGAGAACAGTATGGAGAATATGCATACTGATGTAACAGTTTAAAAGATTAGGATCATGGTTTTTACATTATTGCAAGCATACCTCCTCCTTCCTCAGAGGGAGGGACATTCAAAACCAGCTCCACAAGCAGAAGTGGAACAGCTTTTTTATCTTCCTCGTCATCTGTGCCAAGTTTCTCACTGTTTTTCTTCTCCCCATTTTCAAGGGTGGGTTCCATAAGACTCAGGTGCACAATAGATCCTATGTGGTATTGAAAACAATGCACACAACTGCTATTGACTATGGTCCATGGCAAAAAAGTCAGAGTAAAGCTCTTAAAACTTCTACCTGCATGCATCTTCCTACATCAATTTTTGTCTACTTTGAAACTTGCACAGAAAAGTGTGAGTGTCCTTGAAGGTCCATTGTCAACTGCGAAATACATTGCAGCAGTAAATTTTGCAAAGTTTGAAATTTCCATTTACAAGATTGTAGCTATTATCAAAACATGACATTTAATAATGAACTGTTTCAAGACAAAGTTTGGAACTACACAAAGCCACATAGAATAACAAAGGCCTTCCAGGTGCTAGTGCAAAATCATAACTGCAGCATGGCATGGGGATGGGGTCACTAAAATCACTTCAGAGATGACACGTCTGAAACGACTTGCTTAATTGAAACTTCCCCCTCCATTATGGCATGGCCAAGTGGTTAGGGCACTGGACTTGAAATCTGGTGTCCTGGATTCAACTCCTCTACCCTGCTATACACTGGATTTGCTCTCAGCCACCAACTGGTCTGCCTCCTGCCAGTTGGGACTTTAAAGCACTTCTTGTTCACTCGAATATTTGATCTCTCTTTCAGAATGAAAAGCACTTAGAGGGTTGAAATAACTGCTGTATAGGTTGTAAGTTTTTCATTATATATTACAATTACAATTTGTGCATGTGGGTTTTAATGGTGGCTCTTAACATAAAACTCCTCTCCTTGTTACATGCCTGATAGGGAAAAGCCACACAATTGGAAAATCACTGGCTTTATTTGACTGTGAAAACTGATAAAGATCTATACAATCACTTAGTCTACTGTATTAATATTCTGCTCCTCATCTTGGTGGCAAAGCCAAATTGAGGATTTTTTCTTTGGAGACAGACCATATCACATAGTCGGCTCATCCCAGTCAGGGCATTCATGTCAAGGACTGCTGTTGACGGTAATTACAGTCACTGCAGATTTGGGAACCTTTGCAGAAGTCATCATCAGATACATGTCACTTGACTTTGACTTTCAGGTACACGTCACTTGACTTTGATGATATTAACTCCTCATAAAGTTTTTCAAAATGTCATTCACCACAAGTGACAACAGTCCTTTCCAAGACTACTTTCACCCTACTGAACCTATTTACATGTAAGTACCTACCCAGCATAGATGCAGCTTTAACTTGTGCTAAGAATGTCCTCAATGCAGTTAGAACAAGCCTCCTTAAGAGCTCCATCACCAGAAAGTCAATCATTCTGATGAAACAAGTCAAACGATGAAGGACTCCTCTCCATTGAGACATCTGAGTGAAAGAAGGTCCATACCTAACCTTGCCTGAAATACAAAAGAGCAACAAAGGTAAAGTTACCAATGCTTTTGAGGATCCCAAAACTCGTTCAGTGTCACAATTTCTAAACTTCCAGACGCAATCAACATGAACCTCCTCCCTTAATATCCTTACATTATCCAGCAAACAGGTAATGAGAATATTCAAACTTATCAGTAGAAATTTTTATCTTGATCTGACACCAAATTCTTGTAACTAATTTACAAGGAAAAGTGTAGCAGTAAGAGGGGAGAATTAACAATCAGATCTTGAGAGCTAAAGGGTTAATGACAGAGATAAAGAAAAAACAGTTCCTAAAGCTCACTTTTTCTTTCTCGTTACCTTTCTTTTTCTTGCCTTCAGGGTTGTCTTCCTTTTTTTTCTTCTTTTGTTCCCTTTTTCTTTCTGGGTGAACCCATTCTGTTAGTCCTTCTTCTTCTGTAATTTTCTGCAAATAAAACAATAATAAAATTTTGCTTTTAAAAAAGTCATTGAGTGCCTGTCACTGGGTTCTGTAGTTTCTAAAATCTAATGATCACCAACTAAAGAAGCTCTTGATTGTTAAACAAATTCTCCTCACCAGCATCTTGGGAAATGTATAGAGACTAGTATGGAGAAGATGCATGCTGATGTTAGGGTGTAAAGGGTTAATGCTCTAACAAAGTCTATGCTCTAACACTGCCATGAATGGTTTGTCAAGTCTCTATATCAGTTAGGTAGCCCACACTCCCAGAGCTTACTTGGGTTGGCAAACATAAATGGTTTCTGCAGCATTCCTTGTCACTTAGTATTCTCTATGGACTAATCACACTGAAGTCTGGTTTTAGATTCCCAGGTGGAAGAGGATGCGATTTTCCAGAGGAAACCCAAGATTTGTGAAAGGAAGGTTTGGGAGTACTGCTACACCCCCTGGATAGGATGCCAGTCCACCAAAGGTTGTCCCCCTCCATCTCATAATGTTTACATGACAGTTCACTGGCACTCATTTTAACTACAGGGTGGAGGGAGCCATTGGGAGAGTAAAGCCTACTCCTCATCCTCTTCCTCAGAAACACAACACAGTCATCCAGTCCACATTTATTCACTCTGTATCCAGCCTTGGCCCACCATCCAGATACTACCCCTTTGAACATTAACTCAGCTGCAAGGTGTCCTGAAGCTTTTCAGAACTAATTTTATGGTGTTTCTCACATTTCTGTAATTTTCCTACCTCGCAGGCCTCTTTGACAATCTCCAGTACTTTTACCCTCAAGGCAGTTAGCTTTTCCGTGGCGTCTTGCGCTTGTCTTGTCTGTGCATCCACAAATTCCTTCAGAGTAAAGGTTGTCTGAGGATCAATGTGTAGGAGACAAATTCCATCCTCTCCTTCTCCCACTCCTGTTATACTGCTGCAGGCTTTCTCACAGAGAGCTCTTACAAGGAGTATAGCTTGTTGTGAGGGTTTTGTTGCCGAAAAAAGTGAACTGACAACCTCAGATCTGAAAAATGAAAGAAATCATTTACTTTAATTTACCTTTACACCCTAACATCAGTGTGCATATTCTCCATACTGTTCTCTATACATTTCCAAAAGTACTGATGAGAAGAATTTGTTTCATAATGCAGAGCTTCTCTTATTGGTAACTATTTCCTTTGTTCTCATTACCTGAATGTTTGATTTCAGGGGTGATGTTGTAGGGAGATATTAGATGCTACTCACTCGTAGAGTTTGAAACAGTTTGCAGCAAATAAACATCCTTAGACAGTTTAATCCTTTATGCCCTAACATCAGTATGCATAATTATTCTCCATTCTGTTCTCAATCACATTTTCTTGTGCAAGGAGAAATTAGATGCGAGTCACTCTCAGGGGTTATAGGGTTAAAGAGCTTTTAGTTCAAGAGAATAATGATGTAACTGAAAATTCATGACCCCATAGCACTAGTTATTTGTAGTAATGAAAGTTTGTGGTGAGCAGGAAATTGGCCGGGATAGAAAAGAAAAATGTAAACTAACCTACTGCTGCAATTTTTCTGAAATCTGACATTGTTCCTCCAACACGTATAACCTTTCCACAATCTGCAAAATGATGAAACACCTTTAGTTTTTATTGTGAAGCACATGATAAGAATAATGATACGATCTAGTGGTTTAAAAAATTAAAATTCATATTTGAATGAAGCACCTTATGATTAAGAGTGAAATGTATATTTTTGAGGGAAATCAAAAGAGAGGTTAGCAACAAATCCATCAGAGACACAGTGGCCTAATGCTAAGTGCGCTAACTAGTAGAGAGCCAGGTTCAAGACCTAGCCCAGTCATTGTGTTGTGTTCTCAGGAAAAACACTTTAACTTCACAGTGTCTCTCTTCCACCAGGAATATTAATGAAGCCCAATAAAATGCTGGGGGGTAACCTTGAAATGAACTGACATCCCATCCAGGGGGGAGTAGTAATTAATACTCCTAATCATTTCAAGGAAACTCAGGATAAGTACCACTTGATTCAAGTAAAGACTTTGGCCCAGTTGTTCAAAGGCCAATTAGCGCTAACCCAGGGTTAAATTTTAATATGGATTTCTTTACTCCTTTGTTTGATCAATAGCCTTTTTGGGATTATTTTCTTTATATGGAGCATCCAATCACCAGATTGTTGACAAAAAGAATTATACTAAATTTTCTTTTAAGGCTTTCAGATCTGAAATCAGAGTTCACACTAACTATGGGTTATCTTAACCCAGCTTTGAACAACCCAGCCCTTAGCAACAAATACACTGTAAGTATTACCATACTCTAGAATGAAATCTTACACATGTACAGCTAAGCTCACAAAAGTAATTTCCAGAACACAGTCTCTCAGAAGGATAGAACATACTCCTCAGTGGTAAAGAAACAGTCATCTTTCCCTTTCCTTTTTTGTTTTATTTTGCTTGTGAGTATTAAATCATAAATGATCATAAATACATTTTTTTTTACATTTATTTTATGAAAAGTTCTACAGAAGAGCCACAATACTTGCCTAAACTTGGTGAAGGTTGGAAAACCAAATATTATACTAAATATTTTCTTCTCATAAAGCCACCTCTTTAATGGAGTAAGTTCAGAATCAAACCCTTCTCTGATCTAAAAGCAAATAATGAATAACATCAATGCAAATTATGAAAATGTGAAAGACAACGTTATTCAGATTGGTACTTTGGATGCTCTACCACTGTGAGACTCACAGTAGGATCGGCATTTATTTAGGTCCACCGTGACAAACTTTCTGCATACTGCTAAGAAATGAATGTCCATATGAAAAAAGCTGGTAAATTCTTGAAGATGTTTGGAATTGTGTGTGCAAGAGGACTCCCAACAGTAGATAGTAATATTATAGATCAGTTTGTTAAATCAATACATTTTTAGTAAGTATGATTTGTGCACTACAAAAACTGGTCTCACGTAGAATAAAATCACACATGTCAGAATAATATGTTGTGGCAAAAAAAAAGCAACAACAACAACCAAAGGCCTAAGAATTAATGGAGAAGACTCACATGGGTTACTCATGATGAATTTCACAAGATCAGATTCAATTCTTTAAGATGTACAAACCATGATATACATGACTTTTGTACCAAATTCAAAACCAGTGCCCTCAATTACTCAATGTTTTGTTGAATTTTTAGTTCTTATCTATTGGGGAACAGGGGATAAACTCTGGCAGAGGAAGCAGTCTGATTTATAAGGTCATGAGCTTTTAATGTTCACCCACCAGTGTAACAGCTGAAGCAGTCACAGTAAAATACTGTGGGTTTGACTGGGCTTCCTGTGATGTCACACAAACCAAGTCATAAGGATTATATCGTGCAGCTCTCAAAGTTCTGTTCTTTGGAACACAGTATACAAATTTTCCATCATCTTCTTGGATGTATAATCGATTGATATTGTTTTCATCCTCATCTGGATCTTCCCCATTGGCAATTGCATCAAGATCTGTGCTCATATTTAATCTTTGGCGCAGCTTCACAATCACATCTGATACATGGCAGTTGATGAATTCTTCATCACCTAGTATTCCCTGTGAAAGAGGCTTTGCCTCATTTCTATTGAAGTCTGGTTTTAAACTTCTAGATGGAGGAGGGTGCAATTTTCCAGATGAAGCCCGAGATTTGTGAGAGAAAGGCCTGCTAGTTGCAGTTTTACTTGAGGCCACAGAGTCTGACTCATCATCACCCTTACCAAAGGATCCGACTGATGATACCTGGAAAGGTTAACAAGTAATAAATTCTTTATCAGTTCTGTCTTCCAGAATTGTTCACAAACATTTTCAGCTTATAAAAATGGACACAGGTAAATTCTCTATTGTTATACCTACAATTGTCCATAATGATTCTAAATAGCCACAAGCACTTTAATCCAGCCAAAAATGGGCACAATTAAATTCTCTATTGGTACAACCAGCTTTTTCTACTTCAAGCCACCAGTCAAGAATTTTCACCACATAAAAATGGACTGAGTAAAATTTCTGATAATACCCCCAGAATTGTCTATTGCAGGTAGCCACAAACATCTGTAACTTACAAAACTATACACAAAACATCAAAAAGTTTTAAGAACACTTCTGACCCACTTGATAGAATTCTAGCTTCTGAATCCAAAGAGGAAAAATACCTGATCAACTGGTCTTTCACTGTTAGAAAGTTCACTTCTCTGATCCAGATGTAAGTTATCTGCACCATCTTCCTCTAGACTTGAAAAGGCAGCACCATTTGCAGTTGTCAAATTCTGTGGGTCTAACTTTGTCTCTGGCTTTTGGGGGTTTCCTTGCTCAAATTCTACTGCTCCTTGTGTGACTGGAACAGGTGCTTTAGGAAAACCCTGATTTCTCTGAGCTTGTAATCTATTGAAATCTCTTCTGAACATTGTGGTTCTATAATTACCCATCACTGACCTTGAGCCACCCTTTGGAGGTGGATGAGGTGAGCCCTGTAAAATATTCAAAAGCATAAAAAATTAGTCCTCTCCAAGGTTTTCCACACAAACTGGCTGCTGACAAATTTCTTCTTTTATTCCACATTTTTTTAGCCAACTACTTTTTGTTGAAAACTTACCCAAAATATTACAAGAGAAACATAAGGTAGCTAGGTAGGTAGGTATTTTATTTATCCACATTACACAGATGAGTACAAGACTTGTTTCTATGTGAACATGCCAAATTATGCTAAATCCAGTACATATCAAGATGGAGAATAAATAAATAAATAAAATAAAAGGAAATAAGATAAAAATAAAAATGTATGAAGATATAAAAAAAAAATATACAAAAATCAATAATCCTAAGAGGAAATGTAACTTTACAGAATTATGTACAAAAGTTACAATTACACTCAACTCCGGTAGTCAAATTGACCTCATCCAGCATTGGCTAAAAATGTTAAGAGATAGAGCTCTCCTGACATAGTCAGGCAGATTTTTTGCACTGGTTTGTTGAATGTCATTTGGATAATGTTTGAACTGGCTAAAATTGAATGATAAGAAACAAGAAGAACATGCACCACTTTTGAGAAATGTCAGCCGTGAAATTTGTTTCTTTGTTCTTTCCACATTCATATCTGTGCTGTGCCACCTACCTCGCCTAGTAGTGACCAAAATCTGATCTCTCCTTTCATGGACACTACTCAGTAAATCATTCGTTATGATAATGAGGAAAAATAAATAATCCCCAACCTAAGAGGCTTGGCACAATCTTAAAATCTAACACAATTAAAATAATAAAACTATTTATCATTTATGGTCTACTCTAGCTTAAATTCTCAGGCTCATTTCAAGGCCATTTTAACGAGCTCATATGCACACAGCTTTCGCTAGTACTTGTGTTACTAGTGGAGAATGGCCGTAGTGAAAATGTCATCATACACTCAGCTTTCTCCGCGACAAATCTTTACATTTCAGATGGGACGTATAAACAGACCTCTTTAAAAATAGAAACAAAGGTTTGTTAGAATTGCAGCTATTGTTTTTGGCAACAAATACCATGAAATATCATGGGGCGCGATTTCAAAGCGTCCGTGTTTCCATGACACCTACGTACACTGTAAGTTTTATATTATCATTTGCTAGGATTCAGTGACAAGTATAATTGCTATTGTCTTCAGAAACCCAGAAACGTCCAGGAAAAAATATCATCAGGAAAAAATATCTTTTAGAACAACTCCTCCCCGAGTAAACCACCCGGTAACTATTTCTCTGCATTCATTATGAGCTTACTTTACCTGAGTTGATGTCTGAACTGAAGATGGTGGAACAGGTCGGTACATTGCTCGAAAAACTTCGGAGTTTTCCGGTCGGTCGTAAAGGCGAGACTTCAAGGAATCTATGGCAGCTCTTCCGTCGTTAATGGTTCTTTTAACGGGTTTTTTTTGTCGAAATGCGAGGTCATCTCGACGGTTTCTTTGTGAGAAACCTGCGATTCCTGTCGGAGATGTGTGCAAGCGGCAATCAACAGCAGAATTGTGGGGTACAAGTGGATTTGACTCGTCCGGTTCATTCTCCATTTTTCTAAGTTATGAGCATCCTCCTTTCACAGTTTGGGAACTTCTTCTTCATACATCCATACTTTTCAAAACTACCACCAACGTTTGTGTTTACCATTGCCAAAAAACTTTTCAGACTGCAAAAGGCCATAGTAAAATGCCGTTCTAACAAAGTCAGTCATTGGCTTATTTAGATATCCCGCTCCTTTTTATTACAACTCATGTCATTGGTCAGCTTTTAGGAAACGTAATAAATACCTACTGAGGTTCGGCATAACTCCTTCCTGTTTTTAGGAAAAATCGAGGCAAGATCGATCACATCAGACATTTTAATTTATGTTTTTGGAATGAGCCAATGGATTTCTGTTATGGTCAAGTTGAGCATAGGAACTCACGAAGATTGGAAAAGATAGTTTCCCTCCATGGAACTACGAGAATTTAAACGAACCGCCACAACCCTTCCACTCTCAAGATTTCATTTGTAACTCTCCTTACTGTCTGTCATACAATTTATATCATGTTAGATAACAGAAGTTGATATTAGTTCCACTTAATTGAATTTTTTTTATATATTCTCATCACGTCTGCTTGATAATGTTATGAGAGATTCTCCCTTGGTCTCTTATGGGAGCTTAGGGTTAAGTGAACGAGTCAGTTAACGGACACATTTGGAATCCCTTGACTCGCAAAGAAAACAACAAAAAGTCAACTCTTAATCATAATCTGCTCTTCAACCAATCCAATGAAATATGCAAATTAAAACTTTCTGGAATTGTTTTTTTAACATTAAGTTTTATTCTATTCTTCTGCTATATCCTTTGAAGGTTAAAAGGAAAGGTACATTTTATTATATCTTACTTAACTAATGGAAAAAAGGAAAAAAACATGATTCAGCATTCCAATCAATGAAAGCCAGTTATTAACTGTCTGCCACATTTTGTTTAGCCTGTGGGCAGGCTGTCATGCTCGCCTTTTGCCTTACAGCCCCTCACCAGGGACAGCTGTAATTAAACCACAAGCAGTTGCTATTGTAAAAAGTTATTGCAACCCTTGATTCATGCCTGAATCATCCTGCAGCATCCATCATTGAAGGTTGACTTCATATGCAAAAAAAAAGACTGTTTTTTCTTTTCATATAGAAATAATGTACATGAAAAATTGGGCACTTCTGATTGGCTCACACCAAGTGACTTTTCATGTAACACAAGTGCAAAATTGTAACGCAAGTGCAAAATTGTAACACAAGTGCTACTTAATAATAGCGTGCAGCTGCTTTCAAGATTTCATCTGTCTTGACTTTGTGCATTTGTTCTTGTACATTATTAACAAGTAATAACGCGATTTCTCTAGCAATCTAGTCTAATAAGCATTTGTTAATTTTTCAAAGACTACAAATTGCACTTGATGTCTTTGAAAAAATTTACTTGTGCTTATCGAAACCAAATTGTACTCCTAATCATGTTATTAAATATACTAAGCTAAATTACAAATGCATTCTGATCAAGTCTTACTTTGGGTCTACTGAAGGAGAGATGCATGGATAAAGTCACCATTGACAATATTTTTGCTTCTTTGATACTAATATAGAGCAAATAAAATCCAGGTTGCTGTGGGTCTGTATGGTAATAGGGAGTTTAAGAATAACCACAATGGCAATGGCAACAGCAACAGGATCATCACTAAACAAAAGGTTTAATGAGCAGAACAATGGCTGTGTACATGCATTATAAATCTTGGTAAGTTTCTTTGCGTCCTCTGCAAAACAACAAGGTGTGAACAACAGTGGTTTAACTTTTAAATTTCTATTTCTAATTTAACACTGTGTTCCATATTCAGTTCCAAGAAATTTTTGACAGTGAGAAACAAACTAAATGACTTTAGAGTGTTGCGAGATTCGTAGGTAAAACACAAGTTAATTTTTTTACTGACGCTGTCTATAACACCACAGTCATTGTTTCTTAAACTCCTTATTAATTCACAGAAGGCGTGAAAGTGTGGTAAGACCATTGGTAACACCCTCTCAGCTATTCTTAATATGCCACTAAAAATTTAACGTCATCAGTGATCTATTAATTACCGAATACGATTTTCTCTTTAAATATTTCCATTTAGTGATAGGTATTTTGTAACTCAAATTTCTCATGGTTTAAATTACCTAGCAACAGAACTCTGCATCGTCCAATTCTGTCTGTAATCATGATCTGATCACTTGTATGTTTAGGGACCGCATTGGACTCCACTCGTTCCTGTGACTAATTGTAGAATATAATTGTTACATGTCGTTCTTGTATGAACTCAAGTGAAACCTTATGAGGAATCGACATGCCACGTACAAAAATTAAAACAGATGCAATTCCTCAAGGTGCAGAATTTAAAACCTTTTGTGAGCATAATGAGACAAAAAGCTGCGAGAAAAACAAGAAGAGACAACGTTCGACTGCTGCATAAATTAATGCGATTAACAAAGGTTATTGACGTCGCTTTAAATTAAACCCGTAAAATATTAATGATCATGACATTAGCGTCAAACACAGATAATTTCCCGCTTGTTCTGAAAAAAGGTCTGAGAACACAATCAATAGCCTTTAAGCCTTAAAAAAATGAACACACAATAAATACATCTGTTGTGAAGCCAATTTCAATTTGGATCTAACAAAATGAAACTGAAAAAATTGCCAAGCTGTTCGCCGGCAGTCCTACGATGATCAAAATGATCTACTTTCCGCCTTCGAGGAATGTTTTTAAGCATGATTGATCGGTTCCAACTGCGTAAATAGGATTTTATCTCTTTTCAGGAGGGCGTTCCATCCTTGAAATAGATTTTCCGCTTCAAAAAGTTGGAGTAAAAAATAGAACATGCTTCGAATCGCACAAAGAGACAGGCAGTGCAGTTCATTAAGCTTAGCGGCCTGGCATGGAAAAAGCGAAGTCTGCATGTAATGGGCCTTGTGATTGGCTAATCTAACAATAAACGTCGATCAGGGATCACATGACCTCAGCAGGCTTGCGACTCTCGGTAATGGCGACGTGAATTTAGTGTGGCGATATGATTAGTTTTCTTTTTGGCTTGTCGTTGCGATATTTTCCTAAAAATCGAACTTTTACAGGGAGCATACCCTCCCCCAAAAGTCACACTGGCAGTTTTGATGAGTAATAGGAAATATCCGAGGCTAGTGGACGGGTTAGTAGAGGGTTAATTGACAACTTCAGGATCGTGCGAGGCCGCCATGTTTTCTATTAATAAACTAGCTGATAGCCGCTATAAAGTCGATCACACGGACCAGGAATCTCGAGATGATCGCTTGCAACTCATCTAGCAAATAACAATAGCATTTTTTTCTCTTTTAGGTATAATGACCGGAGTCAGTATCATCCATGCCAGGTTTGTATAGAGTTAAATATGGGAGCATATGAACTTCAATCCAAACTTTATTCGTGGAGGTTGAGAATTGTTTCTCAATAAAATAACTTCTCCACTAAAAGGGTAAAGCTTATTTGGCGAGGTGTGCTGTCAGATACGTTTAAGAATTCCTCTTCTCAGTAATATGTTGTTATTATAGGCAAGTTCCAAGTTCTCGTCGAAAATCCATCCCAACTGCAATTCGGAGAGTGGTCGAGAGAGGGAGAGATCGCCGATTAGTTCGACGAATAGTCGAGGAAGTTCACCGTACTCCCGCCATTCAAACTTTTCCCCCCGTTCCCATCGCTCAAAGCCGTACAGTCGATCGCGAGAAGGAAACAAGAGAGGTTGGTATTACGGGCTTTATGCTCGTGTCAGCTGCTAGAATATAGCTTATTGAATCAATGAAATGTGGCACCGTTGAAGGGTAAGAAAGCACTCTCCAAGATGGGATTGTGGACTGTTTAAGAAGGTGTCCTAAAGGAAAAGAGAAGTCTTGTGGAGAAATCAATAACGAAAAACTTTGTAAACAAGCCCAACCTCACATGTGTTATCAGCTCAGTCATTAGACAACAAAGTGAAAATCCACTGCAGGTGTTATAAAAACCTGCTAACCCCAATGTCCAGGCCTTGTAGTATTTCACACAAATTCAACCTATTATTTTATGGGTGAAAAGGGGTTTAAAGGTGAGTTTTTAAAGGATGCTAAGAGATATGGCCATCTCTTTTAATAAAGTTAATGGTGTCTTTATTTAAGTTCTAAAAAGGTGAAGTCAGATTTCTGCATGAGGTGGATTTCACTCCAGTTAAATGTCGACCGGTTCTTGTTTAAAATGTTATAAAAGGATTTCGTGAGAGCTGTCAACAGAGGATAATGGAAGAGCAGAGTTAAATTTTATTAGTGCATTTTGTACAGAAGTGGTGGCAGTACGAACATCATTAGATTGAAGCTTGACACACTTACATATGAATGCTACCAACTGTGGTGTCAGTTGCTGTCAAAGTAAAAAGAACTTGAAGCTCAAAAGTGGCAAATGTATAAGACTTACCATAAACCTACGTTGGTCTTTTTGATGCAAATGATAATGCATTTATCCACACAGTTTAGCAAACCTTGATTTTTTTAAAAAATTAGTTTGAAATTGGAATTCAGCAGCTAAAACAGGTTGTATTGCTACAAAACATGCAGTGAAATGAAAAGCTTTTTGCTTGTTTACTAGAACAGGCATAGTTCTCTGTCACTGAATAACTCCTTGCTTGATGTGGAGGGAAAAATCTAGTCATATCCTTATTTTAAAAGAGCAGTCAACCATCACAGAAGAAATGAATGTATAAAACATGCAACATCAAATCGTAAGGCAGAGACAGGTAATGATGATAAGACCAAGAGAGTGGTTTGGTTGAAATGATAACTTCTTGTTAGTTTCTTATGGAAGTGACACTATTATCTTAATGGGCACAGTGCAAAAAGAGGAAGTCATATATTATTTTTATTGGAGATAGGTTTTGGTCTTCTTGAGGTGACAACTGAGTTAGCTGGAGAAGCCCAGCATAGTAAACACTGAAATTGCTAGCAACTGGTTCTATTTGAACCCTTGACATGCTTGATTTGTTGCATTCTAATGTATTTTAAATTTAATACTCCTTTAACCCTTTCTCTTCCAAGATCTCCTTAGTAATTCTCCCTACTATTTTCCTTACAGTTCTAGTGTTTGCGCAGAGACTTTGGTATTACATCAGCTAATAATCCTGTAGAACAGATGACAAGCTTGAACAAGATAGCACAAATAAGAATGTTCATCTGTCAGTTCTTTAAAACTGCAGTTTCTTGTTCAACAGGTTCTAGCAAGTCTCCAACTGATGCACACAGTCATCATACCCTTCCTAACAGTAACTCACATGGCAATGAGCGCCACAGCAAGCCCAACCATGTCAACAGTGATGAGGTACAATATTTTCTAAAACTTTTTAGTGCTCTACAACAGAAAGTGCAAATCTGTGAAAAGAAATGCGTCACCAACTTTTTACAAGCTGTCAATAATGGAAGATTGATAAAGGTTTTTGTTTCTGTACCTCTGATACACAGTTTTCCAAGCCTTTTAAAATTTTTAGTTATTTTTGGATGAAATCAAAATTGCTATCAGAACTTTGTAGTAGAATTTTCTTTGGCAGGTGATATGGTGTTTTCCATAATTGTCAATTCAGGGGAAATTTTAAAAATATCTTTCAATCCCTATTTGAATAAGACTTTCTGTTTCAATTTACTGAGTGTGTCACTGAGAGTTGAAACATTTTTGTTGTTAATCCTTGTTTCTTATGTTTTAAAAACTTACCCTGTATAATACAAAGTAACCTGAATATGATGTCATGAAATCTAAAGATAAGAATGTTCCTTCTTGAGTGTAAATTTTTCTTTTCTTTTGCAGACTTCTGTTTGGTCTCAGCACACCAGTTCTTCAGGAAAGGTTTACTATTACAACTGTAAAACTGAAAAGTCCCAATGGGAAAAGCCAAAAGAATGGATTGAGCGGTAGTAGAAACTATGATAAAATCTTGTGTTTATTTAATTTTGCAATTCATTTTTTTATTTTGAATAAAAGGACAAAGCCATCTGGTTTTTAGGGACCTTAAACAGTCAGGACTATAATGCCAAGAAAAAATCTATTGAGAAGTTAATTATATTTCTAATAAGAATTTTGTGAATTGCTGGAATCATGTTATTGATTTGTTCATTAAATATTTTGCTGAGCCGCATTCTCTGTCCTGTTATCATTTTGCTTAAGGTCCCAATTACCACTGAGACTGCTGTAATCCTATCTGTATAAACGCTGTATTGTGGAGGTCACAGAATTTGGGTGTATTTCAAAAATACCTTTCTTAATGGTGTTATAATAATTGTACTTCAGCTAAGTTTTTGCCAAACTAGTTGTTATGGGGAACTTTCACAGACCTGCGCTCAGGGCTCATCAGCAAAAAATGGCAGATGTCATTGTTGTATCAAACAGGTGTAAACCTCTGCCAGTTTTGGTCAAACCTTTGGTAACAAAGCACCCCCATGAATGCATGCTCTTTGCCTAACAAAAACCACTATTTTAAACTTTCATCAACCCTCCAACTCCCATGAGAAACCAAGACAGAATTTATCCTTACAATATCAAACAGAAGTAATGAAAGTAAGGGAAACGATCATTTAGGATTAGTAGTCAATCCAATATCAAATTCTTCAAACTGACACCATTCAAATTCTATGGTAGACAGTAAGGGATGAGATGTTGGGAGTGGAAAGGTAAAGAAATGTAAGAACTACATAGTAGTGTAAAGTACACATCTTCCATGTATTTTAGGAATTGTCTGAGTGAAATATCATTTTTTGTTCCTGCAGAGAAAGAAGAGAGAAAGACAGAAAGGACAGAGAAAAAAGAGATTTTATGGCAGCCAGAGATGGACGGGAAAACCGAGAGCATCTGGCTTCCTCCAAACCCAGCAAATGTGAGTTATCTTCAGTTAAATTACATCCTCAAACTCTTATAAGTGATTCACAAGTAACTTGTCCCTTCAATATCAATGCACTCTCTAGCAAAAAAAGTGGTAAATATTGATAAAATCATCTGATAAAAAATACTATTTCAATGCAACACTAAGCTGTCTTCACTATAAATTGCAACAAGAGGGGGGCAATTACTGCTTGAATCTTGTGAGTGAAAGGTTTATTAGGTATTGTATGATTAAATACCTTTCGATTTCAAAAATACTCCTCTGTAGAATTCAGAGACCCCCAAAAATTTGAGCCTCACTTGCAAAGAAATCTCCAACAAAGACAACTTTTGACATGGTCACACATTCTGATCGGCACTAAATTTTAGTTACCTGTAGTCTAAATGACTTCAGTCGACCAAAAAACTGTTTTTTAGAAATGAGATTGCATACAGGGAGTGGGATTGACTGACTACTTCAGAAATGTAACACTTGGGAAAGGCTGGAGTTGGTTGATGTATTTATATCTGAAAATTCTTTCAGACATTTCCCCTTCAAAGAATATTCATCGAGATCATCATAGCTCTAGTGATAAGCGAGATGGAAACCATACAGAGAGTAGGAATATGTCTGCTGAGCAGAAAAAAGAAATCCAGCAGAGATTGTTGGGAACAACTGACAGAGGATCTCCAGTTGTCAAAACTTCTTGTGTACACACCACTGCTCTTCCAACAGTTGTCTACAGGTGAGTGGAGATAACTTTATCAACTATAGCATAGGTTTTATTGTTGTCCTGATCTGTTTTTGATCTTTCTTTTTGTTGTTTTTGCTGTTGTTGTTTTTTTTGCCTAAATGTTTTGGGCCTCTGTTCGCCCTTTTCATGCAAATTTGATCTTTATTGCACTTGCACTAGATAAGGTAAAGAAATTGCTTTCCATGCAATCACCTATTGTTGATAAGAGCTTGTATTAATTATTAAATTGGCCATAAAGCTTTTGGAATGTAGTGAAATCCTGGTAAGAAAGGCACTCCTTTCTCAACCCTGTTCATGGTCCCCTATGGCCAATTTTAAACCTTCATTTCTCATAAAAGAAGTCTTAATCCGATTGTTTGCTTCTTGCTTACAATCCACTCCTTCATAGGCCTGTCTATTGGTGAACACCTTCTATCGATATTTCTTTTTAGGTTTGCATGGTTGCTAATTTTTTCCTCTTTTTATTAGACCTTCTCCTACTGTGGCTAGTATGGGAGGAGAATCTGCGGGTAAGGTTTTTGTAGCCTAATTTAAGGTAGAATTAATTGGGAAAAAAAAAGACAAAGAAAAAAAGAAATTGAAGAACACACTCAAAATTGTCAGATTTTTTTATTATTTTTATTTCTCCTTTTAAATCGCAGTTTCACCCTCTGGAAGCTTACAAGATGTTTCACCTCCAACCACTCCATCTTCACGTTCCAACATGTACGAGCCATCCTCACACACTCCTTCACCAAATATAGTCACAGCTGTTTCACCTCAAGTCGCTCAGCAGCATGGAGTACCTTCTCCTCAATTTTCTTCCCGACATTCAGCGATTTCCTTAGCACCAAATGTATTCCCCCAAGCACCTGCAGTTACAGGTGCCCCAAGAGTAGTGCCACAGCAGTACCAGTATCCTGTAGGGCATCCTCATATTCAGAATGACTATAGACAGCAGTATGTGAATAGCAACAGTAACCCTCCTCAGCTCCAAATAACTAAGGCAGCATTACCTCTTCAAGCAACACATGTCCCCTCACCCCAGCAACCAGTGATGTTCAACCAACAGATTTCTCCACAGACAGCCCTTCATCCCTTACAGCAAGCCACACTAGTGCTCCAGCAACGAAAGATGTCTGAGGTTTGTAAACATTTTTTAGTTTAAATGATGGCATTTTGCCTGATTATCAATAAGATTTTCGAATCATGCAAGTATATTGTGCATAATGAGTTGTGTTAGTCATCTCTTGGAAAATCCTGCAATAGTCTAAGCACTATTGAAAAATTATTGTATTTAACAAACCCTGACACTTGCTAACAGTATTCAGTGTTTAGGATGTAAGTAGCATAATGTTATTTTCTGGTTTTGAAGGAGAAACTTAAAATGCTAGTCTATTGCATATCACCCCTAACAATTCAACAGCACCTTAACTCCCTCGTGGAGATGGCCACTGTGAGAGTAAAGTCTTAAAGTTTCTTGCCTGAGAGCAAGACACAGTGACCTAGCCAGCACTCAAACAAGGACCTCCTGACTTGGGATTCTAAGGAGGCATGAAAGGGTTTCTATGCCAGGGGAGAATGGATCAAAATAAATGTATCCCATGCACAATTTTACTGAGTGGTTGAGCAGTTGTGTCGGTAGTATTGCTCAAAACAGGTGACCAGATATAAAAGAAAGCCAGAAATAGAGCTTGCTAAGTTCATACATACATACATACATACATACATACATACATGCATACATGCATACATGCATACATGCATACATACATATATACATGCATGCATTAATTATTAACATGGCTAACACTTAGCTATATAAGGCTAGTTTACAGGTCAGTCATGATGACCCAGTATTTAAAAAAAGTTAGTTCAGTGACCCACCTTGATATTTTGGGTACAAATTATATTTATTATTATGTGTTTGTAAAGAAAATTTTTAAAAAATAAATCATTCAGTGAATATTTTTTTACACCTTGATCAGTATCTTCCTAAATAACTTGGGTTCTTGTAGATAGTTTTTTTTCTCAAATTGGGCATAAGAATAGAGAATGTTGTGGGGTTTTAGAAATTTAAAAAAAAAACTTGGTCACAAACTTGGTTCTTGAGATATCTTTCAGAAACTGAGTTTTTTAGAGAGCTTTTCAGTGCCACTTAACTGTTGCCATGGCAACAGATGAGTCTGACTAACACCCTTAACAATTGTTTTACAGTAGTTTCATACAGATGTTAAAACATCTCCCTGATGTTGAGATCAGCCATCCTGATATCTTTTATAATTGGATACATGCTGTTAATTGTTGAAAACCGTTTAGAGCATCAACAAAGCTACCATATCTTAAAAAATTTATTGTTTAAATTTTTTCACCTGGGTGATCATTAAAGATACTTGATGTAATGCAAGGGCAATGTCCTTGGATCCATCTTAATTTAGGCTTTTTTATGGTAATTTGTTTTTTCTTTTGCTATAGGCACAAGCAGCTGCAGCAGGAGTGGGGAATATACAGCCGTCATATCCAGTGGGCAAGTAGCTTAGTTTCCATCAATTCAAGGTTTTAAAACAAGTAGTGACATCTGAACTGTGGTACTTGTTCAAATAGGAGTATCTTTGTCATACAGTTTGTTGGCAATTCAAAGTTTCTAATCAGTGAAGCCTATAACACGAGTGAAATTCAAATTCAGTCAGATTTTTTTTGTACACATGGCTGACTGTCATGTCTTTTCTCCTTTTATTTTATGGTACTACTATCCAATAGCTCATTTTTACAAGTATTTTTTTATCTTGTACTTCAGTTTTTTTTCTTAACTATGTCTTTTCACCTTGAAAAACAGCAGCCTCAACAGTGACACCTGCAGCACCTCTTCCACAGCTTGCAGTCTCGCCAGTCTCAGTGGCTATACACAGAAAGGAGGACAGGTCGCATGTACACAGCTCACCTGGTTCTCCTGTGGTGTTCACTCAACATCCACCTGTGGCAGTAGTAAATGAGTCAAGCAGCTCGCATTCGCATCACTCCTCTCACCAACAGCTTGCATCTAGCTCCAGTATAGTGTCATCTAGTCCTCTGTCTCACTCCTCTAATGCATCAAGTCCAGTACCTGTGGTACAACCTGCTGCTCCTACTGTCAACTTACAGACAGTAGCAAAATATGTGGATAAAAATCTCATCTCTCATTTGTCAGCCTGGCCCACAGAGGCGATGGATAGACAAGTAAGGACTTAAGGTGTAACAGGATAAAATTTAATAATAATAATAATAATAATAATAATAATAATTGGATACAGCTGGAATTGAAAGCAAAAACAGCAAGCTCTTGGCTAAGCATTGACTTGTTCTGTACTTTCATTTGAAAAATTGGGTACAAATTTGATTGGATGTTGAGGTTGAGGTTGTAACATTATTGTTATGTTGTTCTAACTTACATGTATATACAAGATGATTGTGGTACTAGATGATCCGATGAAATGGTCATGGGCAAAATTGGTGCTGTGATTATGGCCTTTGATTGTTTCAATAATTTCTTTCAGTTGCAGAAACTATGGGAAGAAACAGGTTCATTTTCTAATGATAGTGACAAAGCCAAAATTGAACAAATGCAGCTACAGTCTGAAGTAGGTTTTATGGAAATGAGATTAGACACAGCAAGTAGGAGGTGAGGCATATGAAGAGCTTGTACAAGCATTTATCCTGAACATCTTAGCATCAGCACGCATACTCTCCATACTGCTCTCTAAAAATTTCTTAAGCTTCTTTAGTTGGTGATCATTTTCTTTATTCTAGTGACCTTGAAGTTCTATTCAGGGGCAATACTGTGAGGAGAAATTATATGTCAGTCACCCTTAAGGGTTAACAGAGTTCTTCTACGGTCTTAATCAATGTGATATAGCAATTATATTGCAACAAATCCAGGAGGTTTTTGTCCATGGCATGTCTCAAGCCCTTGAATGGCAGGAATCCGCCATTCTTAGTTTGGTTTTCTCTGATGTATTAAAACCGTCCACTTTCCATATTGCATACATCACAGTGCCTTTATTTTCTTTTCCTTTCATTTGAGGTAATGCCAACTTGCAATAGTACTTTTTCATTTATGCCTTTTTTTGTTCTTCAGCTTAAATTTGTTTTAATTTAAACAACAAATACTCCTGAAAAAGTATTTCGTCTCCGGTAATTGTTTTGTATTTCTATTTCCTGTACAGAATTTCTTCATTGAAAGGGATGACGAGAACTTTAGAAGCATTACTGGCTGAATCAGAGGCTAAATTCTTGTCTTAGTGAAACCACTTGTCGAGTTCAGTGACAACTGAACATGACGAAGTTGTGATAGAAAAAGCAAACGAGAAGTCATGACGGCAACGATGTACAACTTCAATATTCAAAGACCAAAGTGATAGCTAACAATGATACCATGGGAGCGATGTACAGCGCTGTTGCTTGGGAAACCTTAAGACGTGAACAGTCGCAACTAAAGCCAGTCATAGGTGACTGACTGAGTAGTGAGAGATACATTGGTAGTCTGCTTATAGAAGTATAAGTTTCTGTTGATAATGAGGTATCTCTCTGTGATGTTGTGGAGTATTTGGTAGATATATTGCTTGGCAAAGCCAAGGGTATTGGTTAGGTTGAAATTCGCACTCCACAGATCCCTGGTCGTTAACTTCTTTTCTATTTTTTTTCCTGTCCCTTCCATCCATAGTGAACTTAAGAGCGACAAAACCGTAATTAAAGGCACAAGCCATTGTAAAATATGACACGTAACTGATAACGAAGTAAAGAAATGTTTTCTTTCTAAATGTCATTTTGAGTATTTGTACGAAACATGCCATCAAATAAGCCAAATAATAAAGTTTTTTTATGGTGTGATGTGCGGACGTGAGTATGGTGAAAAATTGGCTGAGTCCATGTATGCTGGTGTATGGATCTGAGGGGTCGCTAGCGCGCTGAAACACCCAGGTCTGGAGGACTAAACTAAGAGAGTTAAGGGCAGCTGACGATGGGCGTTGGTTCTGGTCTTCGTGGTTCTTTCATATCTCGAGCATTTTGATCGTGCTATATTATGATTTAATCTGAGAAGAAGCGTGCGTTATCGCAAGTAAAACACTAAGAGAAGAAAAACTATGCGGTATTTGATGGGGCGAACATGTGGTGCGAGTGAAACATTGGTAATCGGATAAACCGGTTGAGTAACGGTCTGCGCTTCGGCGGACACCTAAGAGTACAGGAGCACTTCAGTTGCCTGTGGCTTCCTAATTTATTCTTGCTTATCATTCGTTATAGTAGTCCAAGTTTTAAAAGAAAATTAGAACGTAAGAGGAATTTTTTTTCACCGCGAGCCTGTCCTGAGTGAGCGATGATATCGATTTGAATCCAGTACACCTCACAGTTTAAGGAACGTTGTTTGACCGGCTGTGAATGATGTATCATCTTCCTTCGTTCCTCTAAGGTGCTTCGTTTCGTTTTTGTGCTCTGATCAGAATATCCTAGTTTGGGCTAAAAAAGGAGCATTAAGAACTGAACTTACATATAAGACCGACGGAATCTCTTGGGTTTCTATCTCTTTTCTTACAATTTTTTTTTTGTGAAATTGTTTCTACTGTTGTTGAATTCCATGTTGTAAGGGGGTTGTAGTTCCAATCGCTAAAGGTGGGATCATGGATACAGGTTACGGTAGTGATAACTGTTGTGGACTTGTTTAACATGTTTCCAACGGAAACTAGTCCTCTGACCCTTACAAGATGAAGTCTTTCAACTGATTTAGGGACAGCTGTCAATCGCGGTTAATTTGACGTCAAAAATCGAAAAATGTTGCCATGACAAGTATTGAATCGGTATACGACAAAGCAAGTTCTGATTCACTGTTTACTTCTTTCTACGAAGAAAGAAAAAAAGCAATTCCACTGAAACAGAAGACCGGCCCATTTTCAACCCTAGCAAAGCCAGATCTTTTATTAAATGCTGCCAAAACTTACGATTCTAAAAATATGTATACATAACAGGTAAAATCTTAAATTTGAATAATAACAATAGATAGAAAACTTACAAAAAGCAGTTCGTATTCACAATTGGTACAAACGTAAAAAAAAAACCCAACTTGCAGAGCCACCACTGTCACCGGGATCATTTAGAAAAACTTGAATAATCGTAAAGAGCGTTTTTCGATTGTGTGGCGTAAAACCACAACCAAAATAATCAGAAAAAATGAGAATACCTTGAAGAGCCAATGAGAACTCAAAGTGAAAACAACCATTCTCCCTAAAGTGCGGGAAAACGCGGGCGACCAAGTAGTGATTGGTTTCAATTTTGCAAATGATTGGTTGATAGAGTGGCGCGAGGTTTCTGGACCAATCACAGATAGAAGTAAGGCAAAACCAAAGCAATCTCGTTTACTATCGACACTGACTTGAAAATTTGTGTACTAAAGGAAATTCATCATTGGCTATCAGTGCTAACGACTGAAGCAAGCAAAGAGAACAAAGAATTTAGGCGAAGCTCGCTGCTTATTTTATGTTTAAATGATTCCGTTAACTGTAGTTACACTGTAAGTCATTTTGAACGAAACTAAGGCCGCACCTATTGCAGCCCCGTTCAAGAATTAAAAAACAGCCTCGAGGAGATTGGATGTACAAAAAAAAATACAGAAATTTAAACTCTGTTGTTTAACAGCAATCGTACAAACGCTCCTATTTCTTTGTGAAAACATCTCAAGCAATTCCACATTGGTTTCATTCTCAATAAAATGCAACTTCGTCTTCATGTCACTCCCCCTTAATATAATATATCAGATTGTAACCATGTTCACTTCCACAAATTATCATATACAAGTGTTGGCTGACAAGCCACATGAAACTAAAAACTACCAAATTACTAAAACTCAGCCTTACAATGTTTCGTTTCCTAAATTGTTCTTTGTGGTCAATAATAATTTTCTGTAAGATAACTTGACTTTCCTACAAAATTGTTACAAGTCAAATTGACTTTTGCCTACCCAAAAAAATCAATTTCTTTATCACTGACATAACATCAAAATTAGTGATTGATCACCGAAAAAAGGAAAAACATATCGTAAAAGATGTACATCACATTACATATAACTGTCGACAATATTCAGCACCTCTGCTTCCTGCCTTGTAAAAAGCATTTCAAATTCGTAAGCTAATAAATTGCCAGCACTTTCAGAGATTTGATAGCATCTACATTGTTCACCTTCACAGCCAACGTTTAGTCTTGTCACGCAACACACTGGAAAAGCTCCTTACAAGCGTCACGAGCAGCAAGGCCGTGGTAGAAAGCGTGCTGCACGACGGGAACAAACGACGGTTGCAAAAGAGACTACGTTTCCATATAAAGATTAGCTTGCAATCAAGTTTTCTAAACCAGCCCTGCCGGTTGATCAATAAATGTGATAATCACGTTAATAACATGTGCTGCTTTGGTTCCAGACCAAGCAGTTAAACACACGTGTGTGACACAAAGTTATATAACAATTAAACTTATTTCTGATGATATAAAATTTTCCAAGCCAACGTGCACAGGATCAACAACTGACTTGACAATCTTGAAAAGATCAAAAACTGCGGAGAAACAAACGTCATACTTAGTAATGTCCTTTTAACACTGTAATACTTCGGAATGACTAGCATGTAAATTCTCCTTACAATACCAGCCCTGAATCAAACATGAAAGTCGCGAGAATACAAGGAATGATCACCAACTAAATAAGCTCTTGATTGTTCAACAAACTCTCCTTGTCAGTACATTAGGAAATGTATAGAGAACAGTAGGAGAATATGCATACCAATGTTCGGGTGTAAAGAGTAAACAATAAATGGATGTGGAATATGCCCGCCACGCCCTTCAGCTAACTGTCTTGGGAACAGGTTCTCAGTGCTACATCGAGTGGTTTGAATCCAGGTGCAAAATTTGATCGTGTGTAGTCCGGGTGAGGGTAGCCCTGCGAAGAACTGCTATGGAAACGCTAGTCAGGACGACCCTCACTCCGACGAAGGGATAACGCTCGAAACGTCAGATTTGAAATTCTTTACGGAGGCCAATTTACGTTATTAACTCAGTTGACAATACTAAATTACCCTGTTATACTCTTTCTTCGACGCAGCACCGCAGTTTCTTTAGAAACTTACCCCCTTTATTCATCTACCCTCACCTGGACGACAAAATTACAAGTTCGGTTTCTCAGTGGATGGAACAAATAAATCCAACATCTTTCCCATCCCAAATTTCTTTTCAATACACTTTTCCACCTGGGCTTTGTATCTAAAATCCTGAGCTTACTAAACACACTTTAGCTGTGAGTTGCAAAACAGACAAACAAAGGCTAAAAGTACCTGAATTGTTTATCACTTCCATCAGAATCTTGTAGTATCTGAAAAATTCAATTGAACACTACAAGGGCGTTAATTTTACTACATCTATTACTGTGAAAGATACACTGAGTGAAAAATTCACTTCATTGTTGCCAAATTGTGAGATAATTGTGAGGAATGAACTAAATCGACTGCATAACGCCCACAGTCTCCCAGATTACAGGACAAAAACACGGAAGAATTCAGTTCTTGCCTCAATATTTAGTAGCGAAATGTTAGCAAAGTATATTAACATAACCCAATGGATAACATTAAAGACAATTTCTCATGTTAGGAAAATATTAGAAGTTAAATCGTTACACTAAGTAACCTTACGCTCAAGAAGCTCAGATCACAAATGAAGAATGTTATATTTGCACGCTTTGCGTATGACGTCATCCACCTACTCTTAGTAACACATTATGCGACAATTTGAAGGTTCGTCATTGAATTTTCCCCATCATGCAAGAGGGGTTGGAATCTGAAATCGAGGTTACCATTTTGAAATTTGAAAAAAATGTCTTGCGTATCTAAGTGGCTCTCAAGTTACTCAGCTTCCTGACACACTTTTCCATCAAAATTGCACCTCAAAGCTCCTACCTCTTCCTGTGATAACTTTTCAAGCGGTTGACTGCGCTTGCCTTCATTGTTCATGAAAATTTGTATTGATAGATATATCCATATTTGTATTCATAATTTAATATACAGCGACGTGATAAATTACTCGTGGTCATTTTTGATCTTATTTATATTGCGTCGTAGAAAAGAGTAGAGAGCACACCTCATTCTAATCAAATTACCACTGTATTAGTGAGATTTAAACATGAAACGGCACTTAAAATAAATTTTAAAAATTATCGGTTATTAACTTTCTGAAGGAGTACCTCATTTGTTCGCCTTCAGTTACAGAAATACACTACCAGAATTATAGAGCTCTGATCTAAAAATGTTGCAAACGAAATTTATTTTTCTCTTAAATATGCGTAGAATTAAAGGAGGACTCGAAAGAGAACCCAGCGATGAAATAACACAAATACTGAACACCAGAAGAATTATAAACCGTTTATTCTTTACTTGTTCACTATTTTTCACAAGTAAAATTAACTTCCTTCTCGCAACATCCATGTCTCAGCATTAGATCATTTCGCTGGACAATTAATTGGTATGAAAATTTAATATAACCCGACATACGGAACGAAAATATACATTTCAAGACTCTTTAGCGCCTGATGACGGTAAAAAAAAAACGTACGACATCAAAAAACCTAGAAGTGTCTCTGAACAAAATAATGAAATATGAAATATTACACCACCTCTTATTACAGATATGAAATATCGAGCACTTTCAATTGGTTTCTACTTCAAAACATTACAGCCTTTTATTTGCTCTGTTCAATATCTTTCCAAAACTAGAGATTTCTGCCATGCTTGCCTCACATTAACAGTACAACACTTATACACAACGGCCTATACACAACTCCTCTCTTGCACTAAGTGCTGTGTCACAGCGCACAAAATGGCTTCAAACCATTTCTTTACCAAAGTAAAGTAGCTGGTTAACTTTTAGGTTTTCCTACTTTACAACAATGCGTTTTAAATCTTAACATATATTCTTACTTTGGCCTTTGGGCAGAGTAGAAAATTATTTATGGAGTTAAATTAATTAGTTTATTTATTCTTTTATTCAGCGACTGAAGCCATCAACATGTGACGAATCTTTCTTCTTTCTGTGGGGAAAATCAAAAAAACTCTATTTAACCCTTGTAATCTTCATTTCAATTTTGTGATCTGAATTTCTATTATCTTGGTCCAAAGTTACGTGCAATAACATTAAGCAACCTAGTATCTCATATCAAAAATAACCAAATAGAATTTTCGTAAAATAATAATGTCTTTCTTTTAGTTCAACTCGAGGTAAAAACATCTTCTAAGAAACGGACTGCACTCATAAATATTGGCTTTATTTGAAGAGGGTTACCTTGACAGAGCTACAACCACTGATGAACTCCTAAACACGTTTAAATCGATTTATGTTAAAGGTGCTTTAAATATTTTAATAAACATACTGATATTATGGTTTATATGGATAAAAATTCATTCATAACATAAAATAAAACAACAACTTGTTTTTTATCTTTTAAATTAACCATAAAAATGCTAACAAATTGATAACCGACGACACAGATTTCAGAATCAAACAGTTGTATAACTTTAAAACATATTTATCTTCGTGCGGTGCAAAGACATAAATTTGATACTAACAAAAACAAAATATTCTTCGGGTACACCTCCATCGTGTTCTCCGTGAAAGAAATGTTATTTTCTTTGAGTTGACATCGAATGCTTCAAACTGTCGACGAGACCAAGTCGAACGAAATTGGCTCAGCGTTGAAAACAAGTTACAAAAACTGAGCGTTTCTCCAGAAGGACAAATTCACCGGTGTAAAATTTCTTTGACTGGATACAAACAGCACGAGCATCTACTTTTTAAATTTCAGCTTCAAAACTTGAAGAGCAGCTGGTTAACAGGATTGCACAGCAGAAACTCGAGATTGTTTTCGTTTGACTTTGTCATTCAAAAATAGAAAGTGGCGAATGCTGAACGCAAGAATTAGAAAGAGCGTCTGTGAATCACGATTTTAAAATGGCGTGCAAGAGGAGCAATTAGAGGCTTAACAAATATTTACGATTAACAGCTTCTAATTTAAGGTAACAAACCCTTCTGTCGTTTGCAGTCCTTGAGATTCATTACATAACACTTGATGAATGAATTGCAATAAATTGCTTCTATAACTGACACAAGGCAACAAAACCCGAGGTCTGACCAACCTCGCTTTCGTGCAACCAAACCGAAGCCGAACAAGTAGTATGCCATATTTTCATTCGATGTATTACATAAAGCTAAGAGGAGTCGCGACTCCTCCTGGATAAAAAATGGTAAAGCTCACCACAGTAACCACAGCGGTCTCCCGTCAGCCATGCGCAAGTTGATCAACTTTGGCTAGCCACGCGCCAGTTTCCCGCGCAAAATGTCACAAGAAAATAAATAGTAATTTCTCAAGTAAGCGTCTAAGTATGATAGAACATGTTTAGCTTACCAATCAGGGGAAGTTACACCTTCCTCTTGACTTCCTAAAGGCGACACACTCAGACCGGAACTTGAACCAGACCCTGTGGAATGTCTAGGTGATTCGTCCTCGGGAAGATTTAATAAATCCTACAAAACGAAACAAATAACACGTATATAGCGAGCTTACATTGACCAATCATCAAAAGGTGTTAGGATTCGTAGGCAGTGGAGAAGCCGCGAGGCAGCAGCAAGGGGCTGAAGTAAGCAACGGAGGAAGGATTAGCTGGAGGTCACAAATCGAGAGGGCTAAATCGAGAGTTGGTCAAATCTGATAGCGAAGTACGCTATAGGGCAATATGACCCTGAATTTAGGATTACACTTCACTACTTAACCCATTCGTTCCCAATATCTCAATCGAAATTCTCCTTACTACCTGCCTCATATTTCTCACAAATTTTGTTCTGAGAATTTCGTGTTGGAGCAAATGATAATCCCCTTGTTAATGTTTTTCTATATTCTCCTCACCCGTCTCCTTGATTTTGTAGAAGAAATTCTGTCTCGGTTACTTATGGAAGTGAAATTGTTAACAACTACAACATGATCTTTTAGGGCCACTCGTTAAAAACCATTCCACAATAACTGCCCTAAAAGAACTTGTACATAGATACAAAGATAATTGTGCTAAAAATCACTTAATTATGTGCAAAGCTGAGACAAAAAACCAAGTTACTAACACAACGTGCGATTATTTTGGTTAGCACAGCCAACAGTTTACCTTGATTTCAAAATAGTTTGCATTTACTGTTAAATAAAATAAGTTAAGATTTCGACATGAGCGTAAAATAGGACATTTGGTTACGTTAACAAGACGCTATGGCGGTTAGGGTTAGATTGTTATGAACACAAAACCTCCCACACTTTTTTTTAACGCAAAGTACAAAAGACAACCATTCACAGTTAGAGTTCACCACTGATTATGGCGAACTGTTAGGAAGAAAAAAAGGGAAAAATAAAGGGGAAAGGGGAAAACTGCTTCTCATCAAGGGTGTGTGCGTTGGTAAAAAGGAAAGTTTTACAGTGTTGATTGAGAGGACATGGACGACTGTCAAGTACTCAGCCAGTCAGTAATCAGATGTCTTCATCAAAGTTATTAATCAGCTATCAAATATATTTAAATAAGATTAGTGATCATTTGTTGAACTAACAAGCAGTCGCAAACGAGCCAAACTCCACGAAAACCGAAGCAAACCAGCGATATCCTTTTTCATCTTCTAGCTAATTTTGCAAAACTCTCCAGCTTCTTCCAAAAACAAAAAATTACCCAAACAACTTCAGTCAAATCATCCGATCAGTGACCTGGGTTGCTGCCTCAGCTTCGTCCATCAGAAAAATCTAACAAAAAGATTTACAATGGCTACAAATGCCGACCCGTGAATTTGTGCTGTCACCGTCATGACTCAGTTCCGCATGCCTTTTACTCAACTCCAAAGCTAAAGCCAGATGCCTCTGCTCATCTGCAACACTTTTTGGTCTCAAGGTATTGAAGTACTAGACAAGAAAACAGGTTCACATCACAAGTGATATTAACCCTACTGCTTTCAAAAACACGCCTTCTTTCTCTCTCTTTTTTCTTCCTTTTTCTTTTATTTGGTCTCTTAAGAAAGATCAGTAAAACGGAGGGCGGGATTGGCGCGAAAAAAAAAAAAGAGAAAAAATAAAAGTAAGCGTGTTCCACCAGCTACTATTTTAAGGGGTAAAATCTCCGCTGTAGTATTACTTTCATAAAATCTTCTCGTAACATACTGGAAAAATTTGAGATATGCCAAGTACAAAAGCAAGAGCGGAGCGAACGGAGGCAAGCACGGATAACAAGTCGCGCATCTCGCTTCACACTTGCCTCCGGTCGACTGAGTAGGCAAAACGATGACGCCTGTCCGGCAGGCTATGAATTTTACGCGAACACGAGAAACTCAATGGAAGAGCACAAATGAACTCCCATTTTTTTCTCCCCTTTTTCTTTACCTGTGCGTAATTGTCGAGATCGGCAGAGAGCCGGTTTGAACCATTTGCTACACGGCCATCATTTGAAACATCTTCCGCTGACCGAGTGGACGATGATCGCGGTCTAGGGACTGGCGGAGAGGCTTCCGCAGAACTAAACAGGAAAGTAAAAAAGTAAGAAAAAAAATTAAAATTTAAACTTGCAGTGTTTGTATTTTTTCCCTTTCACTTCTAAATGCGAATCAATGTAGACAAAGTACCTGTTTACAACATTCATGGATGCCGCTCTGCCGTTTACCATTCCTTGCGCAGGTCCAGCCGGTTTCAGACCCTTCGCTGCCACGTTGGGCCGCGTCATGAGACTGGGATTTGCAGTGACAGCGCGCTTGGACCTGGGACCTATTGCAGTGTTACGCGGAGCCACTGTATAAAAAAATTATCAATATAGATATAAATAAAATCACGTGGTAAGTTGACGGTAATATAAAAAATAACTTTTAACAGGAGGGGGGAGAAAATACCTTGAGGAGCTTCCTCGTCAGTCCCGCGTTGGCCCTAAAACGAAAAATTCTTGATGTTAAAAGCTATCATAACTCATTTAGAGTCATGAAAAGTCAGAAGTGTATTTGTTTCTTCAGCTTAGTAGCAGATGAACTAGTTTTTATCAAAATAGTGTTCCTGGTTTTTGCTCAAAGGCATGTCCATTTAACTAACCCTCATTAGAAAGATTTACAAGTGATTTATATTCTTAGTTTCGGTTGTCTGTGATGGCAATGGAGACTAACCCTTGGTAACTCTTTAATGATTTGAAATCCATCTCCAGGACCCATGTGTGAGATATGGTTGAAGTTGGTTGGTCCTGAGATGAGCTTTGATTTGATATCTGCATCCATATCTGCTAAGCCACCCTCTTTGACTTTAAATCCAAATCGATATGAACTACTGCAGACAGACAGGAAGAAAAGGGAATTAGTTCCAATAGAAAGTGACCAAGGAGCTTTCCATTCGGGTAGTAAACCCGATGAGGATTTTCTTCCAAAACGAACCGCGCCTTTTTTTCCCTCTAGCATAGTGTAAGAGAATAAGCAAGTTCCTTTTGATAAGGGTCAACTTTTACTTGGGAGAAAATGGATTCTTCGATTTGCGGAAACAAACTCAGCGGGTTAACCACGTAGTTCCTCATGACGTATGGTGCATGGGAGACTAACCAAATGGGAGAGTCATTTTCCAATAATTCAGGTAAAATTGAGAAAAGACGAATATCACTTGAGGAATTCTTTTTTTTTTTTCCGAAAAACATTTGGTCAGAAGCCTCAAACCAACCTTCTCTTGCTACTTTTCAGTCTTAAAATAGCCGCAAGGGCTTTCTTTCCTTTATTGGGGTCTGGAATGATCAGTTCCTCTTCTGTACAAAAACACAACAACACAACGATTCAATTTCAAAATGGAAAAAAAATTGCAACTACTCTCATAACACTTTTACACCCTAACATCAGTCTACATATTCTCCCTACTTTTATCGATATTTCTTATGGCACTGACAAGGAGAATTCGTAACAATCAAAGCTTCTTAGGTTGGTGATCACTACCTTTTTTCTCATGATCTTGAAGAATGATTCACCAGTAAGATTGTACGGAGAAATTAAACGCTGGTCACTCTTTGGGTTCAAAGGGTTAATGTTCAATTTAACCAAGAGAATATACAAACCTTCAAACAGAGTGTTCTTGAGGTAAACTAAATTGCATTGTTCTGAAGCGGTGCACAGAGCCAGTGAGCCATCATTGATCAAAGCATGACACTGTAAGAGAGAGACGTAGAGTACCAATAGTCAGTGAAGAAGAATTCCCTACCAAGGATCAATACCAATAGGGCGCTTATCGATTAAGCGCCGCAAAAACCAAAACTAAAGTAATCAAAGACCAATCAGAAGAAAAGAATAATACCTTTGAGAGCCAATGATGAACTCAAAGTAAAACAACCAAACTGCATGAAGCGCGGGAAAACCGCGGACGACCAATTCGTGATTGGTTTCAGTTTTGTATTTGATTGGTTGAGAAAGTGGCACGAGTTTTCTGGACCAATCACAGAACGAAGTAAGGCAAAACCAATACAATCCAGTATTTCGACACTCAATAAAAAATTGCTCTAAATGTTCCATTTATGATAAGACACGGCAACACTGTTTACAATAAATAAATCAGTTACGTGTCGTTTGAACAGAAAAATGTATACGATTTATCGCAAAGGAGAATCTTCTCTTTAAAGTCTAAATTTCTCTGCTTAAAATCCATGCAACTTTTTTTCTCTCTCTTTAAAATGAAAATCGAATTACTAAGAACCATAACAATCAAAAAATTACTACCTTTTTGAGGGGGATGGTCTGAAGCCATTCTGCACTACTTGAGTCAAAGATATCTATCGCTCTCTCACTGAAGGAGATCACGTACGGATACGAATACGCTAAAGTAGAAGAAAAAAAAGTAAAACACTTTATTTTTCAATGACGCTATTTTTCTTGCGCGGAATAACGGTGGGCAAGAAAGGCCCGTTTTGCTCGCTCGGGCAGCCATTCAGAACATAGGATTCGCTTCATACTGCCCACGGGCGCTGACAGCGATAAAATAAATTAACCTTATTTCCCTCCACTAAGTAGCGGGGGTTAGTGATACACTAGAGACACTTATGACATCACCTGAGCTTAAAAGAACTTACCGACATTTGTGGGCGGTGATGGCCACATCAGCTCATAACGTCTTGATCTATAACCACTGGCCTCAACGAAGATTCCTAGTACTGGAAAAAAAATAGCTTTAATCAATAAAATATTTTTTAATTTTATATTAGGCGAAACTAGTATTTTCTCAATTTAAGACCTACATTTTACACCCAAATCTAAATTATCATAGTCGGTGGGAAAACAAACATAAAACATCATTTTTTTGATTCCGCACAATTTGTTCAACTGTGGTCTAAAACTTGTCAGTCCACTCGCGCGGTCAATCGCCTGGTTCAGAGTGAAGGCGCAGGGTAGAGGAAAAGGCCCTGGGCTCTAATATGGTGACTTGTCCTTAAGACTAGCTCGTTTCCTCAAAGACACATATCTAATCCCCGCAAAAATGAAAAAAAAACGAAGCCAGCATATCTGCAGTAGCTCTCAGAAAAGAGATAAACGTTAAATGTATATGTATGATGTATGATTTTTCTTTTCTAATCCGTCAAACAAACTCGCTCATGCCCTAATATACTTACAATTAAAACACAACAGAAATTCTTTGTTTTTTTCGATCTCCACAGCAAGCAAGGCGTCCAGTGGATTATTGGTGATGAAATTTAATGTCGGGTCATCTGAGTTAACAAGTTCTAAGGGAAACAAAAAAAAAACCGCAAATCATGATTAAGACGACGTCCATGAGACACGGCTGGAGAAAAAATTGAGAATTTAGCAAAATTAGAGAGTGGTCCACACATTTAAGATTGCATATATGAAATCTCTGGTATACCGGAAATCTTCCAGAGAAAGAAAACCTCCCGGTCTCCCGTGCAGTAAATTTGGTAACAATTTTACAGAAGAGGACGGTGATGATGGCGATGCTAAGTACATCAGTACTTAGCATCCCCATTACAAAAAAAATGGTTAGGATGTTCTATTCAAGAATAGTTGTATTTCGTGTACCTTTTTGTTTGGATTAAGTCAGTCATTTGTTTCTAAAAAAAAACAAAAACAAAAGAGAAAACTTACTCTGAGGTCTTCCCTCTCCTGTAATACTATATACAGCAAACCCGGAGACGTATCCAACAAGTAACTTTCCAAATGACACTCCTAACCATTGGATGTTAAAGTTCACTGGTGTTTCCTAAGAAAGAGAAAACACCTTGAAAGTTAACATGACGTATTTAATGTTACTATCATCACTTAGGACTTTTCCTGGCATGTTACAGAGAAATTCTCAATTGAATATCGAAAGTAATCCGATGTAGAATTGGTTTGGATTTACTTCACTTAGTGATTGGTCCAGAAAACGCGTGGATTCATAACTAACATCGCTTGCCATCGCTCGCGTTTTCCCGCGCTTCAGTCAGTTTGCTTGTGTTTACTCGAGTCCTCGTTGGATCCTTCTGATATTTTTCCTTTTCTCATTGGTTGTTGAGATAACGTTTGATATGGTCCCACAAAACTCAACCGAAATGTGGCACGTAGGAGCTTACATTTAAATGTAAGTTTAAATGTAAGCATATAGGAGCTTACAATTGTCAGAGTTTTTCATGTTTCACAAGTCCGTCCAGGTAAAAAATATTCTATTAATCGAAATATCTAAACATTACTTGCACCAAAAGGTACAACAGTGTGCATTAGTAAATTTACCTTGATCTTCAGATGTCTGTACTTTGTCCGATTCAGTTCGTAGACATAAATATGCCTCTTGACTGCTGCGCAGAGGCAAGTCGCTGTGTTATCATGAATACTTCCCGTGGCAAACATTAGACAATTTTTCGCCTCTGGAATTTTAATTGGTTCTGTGTCATGTCCATCTACTGCAGACAGTGGATAGAGTCGTATTTGACGATTCCTTCCTAAAACACAAATGATAACACAATGTTTTAGTACATTCCCTGATGACACACTTTACTCCAATGGACACTTTACATTCTTTGACGAAAAACTTAACCCTCATTTCGCAGAAGAGAAAATCCATTCCTTTTTGTACGATTTTTCTATTTTTGGATCATAATTTACCTGATATTAAAACGAGAAGTTGCTCATCTGGTAACATCTCTATCTGAGACACCTTCTTATTGTCACCAATGCGGGACGAACCTGAAATTAAAACGACAAAATGACAAATAAGCACAAGAAACATGAAAATTGAGGAGTAAACTTAGGTCTTTGAGACTGCCCCAAGTTGGTGCATCTTATTCCTTCAGTTAACTCGGAAATAGCTGCTCCAGCCTTTCAGATAGTAGAAAGGAGCCCGATAGTGAAAGGAGGTCCGGATACGATAAAAAAGAAAGAGAGAGGTCTGGGTCGGGTCGCGTTACGAACGCCTGGAACAGGTACTTACTTTCTTTCATCAATTCAATGCAGAAGAGACCATCTTCTGTACCCAAACACACTCGGTCAGTGTCTATTATTGTTGCACAGAGTGCTTGTTTGATCTGTGGATTAGACTCGGTGACTTCTTTGGCCTGGTAAACTTGCTGTATGTAAAACAAAATCACAAAGTGTCAACTATAATATACAAGTATCCCTTTTCATTTAAGAGAAATACAACTCATTTTCCCGGCACAAATTAAAAAAAACACATCTTGATTCTTCCTCTTATCTTAAGAGGAAGATAACACAGTAACCAACAACGAGGTTGCCTTCTTTAAAAAGTATGTACAGCACAAGAATATTAGTACAGAATTAAGACGAAGGCAAAAAACGAGCAACCCGACCCGACGAGACACGACCCAAAACCTCCCATGTTTTCACTCATCAGCTACTGTTGCGTCGTCTACTATCGAGCTTCTTTTTACCCACTGAAAACCTGGAACAAGCTTCAGCTGATCATACGAAGGGTGTCTTCTAAACGCTCATATAGTTAAAATAATCAGTACAAAAAAAAAATACTAGTACTCCGTTTAAAAAAACAAATTTAGACACATGTATCAAACACAGTGACCCACATTATAAAACCTAAAGGAAACATAATATGAATGAGCAAGCAGTCTGAAAAAATGTAAAAAAAACTACACTCTCACTATAACAGAGAATACCCCTGTATATGTCTTTAAAAACGTGTTTACCGTCTTGGAGGTCTCCTTATTTTCTTTGAGGGCTTTGTGTAACTGTTGCAGAGCATTCACCCATTTGACCCTGTCATTTTCACTTTCTGTTAATATCAGCTGTGTTAGAGATTCTCCTGGAGGGTTCATCTGAGAAGCCGTGATCTAAAAGAGACCAGCTTGTTAGTGACACCACTGCATGATGCCGATGGCTATGTTTCACTACCCAAGTATTGGATGGAAAAAATATGTATATTTACATACCCTAAAAATACACATTATGTCTTTTTTACTTGCGTGAATAACATCTGAAGCGAGCACCCCACTGACTGAGAACTCTTCATCTCTGCAAAGAACGAAGAGTAATTTCGTGAAGATCGAGTCTTTTACAATAAACTTAGATCAAGCACAATAAATTCCATTAAGTTCATTTATAATGAAACTTGATTTTAAAAATAACTGTTCAGACATTTTATACGTGAATGAAACAAAAATGCCATACGGTTGAAAAAAGAGCTGCTGAACAATTACATTTCCGGGTGGTAACTTAAAATTCAATTTTCTTATCAAAAGAAGTTAATTTGAGATTGACATAACAGGGCGTGAAATTAACTTTTTTTTCTGATAGCCACTTGGCTCCTAAATTCTTCAAAGTGGTAGCCAATTCAAAAAAAGTTGGTCGCCATTTTCAAAGACAAACAAAATCTTTCTTTACGCTGTCAGTGTTCTAGATAGACCCTCCAAAATTAAGTTAGGGAAAAGATCTTTAACGTGCTACAAAGTGGACACTAGGATGGATGATATACAACGTTCAGGCTCATCTAAATCCAAGATGGCGTCTAGTTATCGATCGAGATGCAGGAGCTACGTTTTGGAAACAAACTTAACGAGGAAGTTTGCCGCGGATTTATCTTTACAAATCTTTTTAATACACTATATCTCTTGGTAAGGTTATGATGAAACGTTCTAGTCGCCAATTTGGCGACTAACTTTCAGGATTTGGTCGCCAAAGTGAAAAATTTAGTCGCATTGGCGCCTGTATTAGGCGCAATTTCACGCCCTGTCATAAAGTGTAGTTGAGTAAAAAAGCGACGTCACCAAAATGGTTAATCTTTCACATCCTAACATCGACATGCAGATTCTCTCCACACTGATCTCTTTACATTTCCCGTCGTAGTGACGAGGAGAATTTGTTAAACAATGAAAAGCGTTGTTAGTAGTGACCATTGTCTTTATTCTTATGACCTAAATGTTTGATTCAGGGCTTATGTTGTAGGGAGAAATACGATGCTGGTCACTCTGGGGGTTACAAGATTGATCAAGGTAACTAGGTAACGTTTGTGCAGCGCTCACCTCATGTCAATAACTTGTGTCGCTGATTGAGAAATCTGAGGGGGTTTGTCACCAGTTACATCGAAAAGGAACAATTTGAAGTCACAGATGACAGCAAATTGTCGAAGCCAACCTTTTTTGATTCCGCCTGGCTTAGGAATCTGAAGGCAATAAAACAGCAAAGTAGAGACAACCAGCGACCATCTAGTAAAACTAATAATACAGCATACAAGCGTATCACTTCCTGTCAATACAAATTTCTGTCTGAAGACGTCATTTCCGTCCTTTGACCCTTACGTCTTCCTGCTCAGGGTGACAATGTGACTCCTTGCACGAGACTGCGTGACACTTAGGCCGTGACAAAAAGATTGCGCAATATCAAAACGCCATCTACGAGGCCAATCCGGCCATGTGATTGGTTTATTTGTACCACGTGATAGAAAATATTCTTCTCTGATTGGCTATGTACCAATGTGCCCCACACACTACTGATGAAGCAAAAAGTACATTGGACATGTTACTGAAAAGAGAATAATTTCTGACTTGGGTTACCTTAACAATTCCTTCATAAGCAGTTCCAATTCCTTTTTCAGGGTCAATTCCTAGTGGCCTTCTATTCACTACACAAAGAAAAAAAGAACAATGTCAAGCAAAATTACTAATACACAAAATATTTCTACATCGCTCAAAATGAACCAGTTGTTGGAAACACTTACTTTGACTCGGAGGAATTGGACAAACAGGAGGAGCTTGATCAGTGCAGGACACATGGCAAGCGTATTGACACACTAAACAACAACAACAAAAAATAATGACGAAGGGTTTAAAAAAATACTATTTTGGAAATAACACTGTGTGAGTGAAAACATTTCCAAGTATATTCTAACTCAAAAAAAAAATCTTATCATTAACAAGACCTTACAATAATCTGAGCAGGGCTATGGTAACTTAAAGTAACAACATAAAAATTGTTTGGTCGGGTCTCCCATTTTCACTGTTTACAATCACCATATTTGGAATGAAGTAGAGGGTAGCCTTTTTTCGGAAATCTGCACAAACAAGTTCAAATCACAAAACCTCACCTTCACATATGGAACCTTGCCTGACCAAACCGATCATTAATGATGTACACTGGCTGCACTTGGTAGGTGTAGTGAAGGTTCTTACAGAGAACTTGTGCACTCGAGGCTGGTGAGAAAAACAGAGTTGCATAAGTATAGAAAACACTGAGAAGATGAAACAAGAGGTAACAAAGCGTGTGTGCACTAGAAAGTGAGAGGTATAGTTACGCAAAATTGAAAACTTATTAGCAAGAAATACTAAGCTTCTATGAGGTAAGTTCTAAACAAAGCAAAAAATGAATTGTGCCACGAGATAATGAATGCTTTGCCTTATAGTTTTAAACAATTTTCAACTGAGTGTCGAAGTGTTTCCGTTATTCCAATGGTTTCCATTGGTAATTGGTCCAGAAAACTCGCGTCACTCTCTCAACCAATCAGATGCAAATGTAACATCAATTACGACTTGGTCGCCTGCGTTTTCCCGCGCTTTAGGCAGTTTGGTTGCTTAAACTTTGAGTTCTCTTTAGTTCTTTTCCTTCCTTCTGATTGGCCGATTTCCTTTAGTTTTAGTTTACGACACTCAATCAAAAGACGTTTTAACAGTCAAGGTAAAGTAATAGATGATGACACCATAACAAGACAGTTCACCTGAGGTGGTGCGATGGATGACACAGATGATATGGATGATCTTATTGAAATGGACTGATGGAAAATAAAAGCAAATCAAATATCAGCATTTAATGAATTATGTGCGTGTTGTGCAACGGAAACAGATCCGTTATCGTTAGAGGTCGTTATTAAATGGTGTCATTTCACCTGACAAATCCACTCCCATGAGCGGCTAAAGGAGAACTTGCTTTACAAAGCCGAAACATTTTCAAGCAGAATGGCGATTAGAAGCGAGATATGAGCTGCAGAAAAATGCATAATCCGACCCCAAATTCTCAAAATGGAAGTCAAAAGAAATGTATGAAAGATAGTGCGGAGAACTGATATTCAGATACTGGAAACAGAAGGAAAGACACTTACATCAGGAGGAGCAGTTGAGGGAGTGCTACTCGAACGAGACCCCTGATTCTCGCTTAGTTGACCATCTATCTCCTATTCAAACGAGCGAGAACAGAAAAACAGCAATAAGAAGAAAACATCATTGATATTGCTGAACTTTCAAAACTAAGTTTTCCTGTTGTTTACTGTTGCGATGAGGTAAGTTTCTTAAGAAACTGTGGTCCTGTGTCGGTGGGAGAGTATAACAGGGTAATTTGGTACCATCAACCGAGTTTATAACGTAAATTGGCCACCGTAAAGAGTTTTAAAGCTGACTTTCGAGCGTTACCACTTCGCCATTCACTCTGACGAAGGGCTAACGCTCGAAACGTCAGCTTTCCTATTGAAACAAGCAAGAACGGAAAAACAACAACTGGAAAAATCGTTAATATTGCTTAACTTTCAAAACTGAGTGTTTCGGTCGTTTCTTATTTCACTTTCTTTATGAATTTGTTTGGTTTACCTGTTAATAAGATTACGTTGGCTTTACTCGACTTTGCTTAGTGGTCCAAAAAAACTCGCGCCAATCAGATACAATTCTAACTCCAATCGCTTGTGCACCCGCGTTTTCCCGCGCTTCAGGCGGTTTGCTCGTTTCCACTTGGAGTTTTCATTGGCTCTTACAGGTATTTTACTTTCTTCTGATTGGCAGTTGTAATTTCTTTAGTTTTGGTTTTAAGACACTCAAACAAGGAGCGCTCTTATCCTCAAAACTAAACAACTCCTTGCGTTCTTTATTAATCAAGTAAATGAAAACAAATGAATACCTCTGACAATCCTTCCAGTCTTGAGTCTCGCGAAGTTTCTCTCATGTACAAGAAAGGGAATCCATCTGTTAAAAAAAAGCAACAACAAAACAAAGAGAAAAATTAATTTATCCGGTAATCACGCGCAGAACCATAACGCCCTCGCGCAAAACATTTTGAAGTAAAGGGTTTAACTCATACCTTGGCAACAAACATTTAGAAATAAGAACACGAAAAAAATGCCAATGCTCACGGCAACAAAACTGTATTTACGCAAATTGCAGGATTTTCTTAAGTCAAAAAGAACTTTGATCTAATTTTTCCTTCATAATATCCTTAAACTAATACTGTTGGAAAATCCCATCTCCATAGTTAATAGGAATATTTCAGCTTCAGCGTAAAAACTGCTGAAAGCAGACGGATAGAGCATTTGCCCAAAACATCTCGCTTAATCTCTTTACTATGAAAATCTGGGTAAATTCCACATTATTTCTGTTTAAAAAGTAAATTAAATCTTACTTCCAGATTTGCCACCAACTTTCAGTTGTTCGATTTCTGCTTTGAGTTGCTTGACCTCATCACGAAGAGTATTGCACTGTGCTTCAGATTCACCCAATTTCCTATAATCATTCATAATCATCAAAACTCAACTCAATAAATTAGCAATAATTAAGAATTACATTTCCCAGGAAAATAGTCACCCGACAATTACCTGGTGAACTTATTTGAAACAAATTTAAGTGTTTACAGTACCGACAGACGTTTTGTACTCAGTTCAGTCGAACACAAGCTCAGACGATTTGCAACCAGTTTGGGTCGGTCGTAGACATCCCAACATTCAATGAGGATCAAAATCCAGGAGATGTCACGAAATAACTCGTGTGCGAGTGCGCGAAGAGATATCGATTGTTACTTACAAGTTAATAGAGAGTCAGGCGAGTAAGATATAAGCAATGTTTTGCTGTGTATCCTTGTGACCTTCTTGAAAATAACAACTAAACTAGAGCCAAGCGCAAGGTAAGTGCGATATTTTAAATAGAACAATGTATTATTTATACTCGCGAATATGGGTACGAAACGAGTAAATTGACTGAGTACGAATGCGGTTGTAGCTGGGTACAAATCGACTGATTACAAAACCTTGACGACAACCCACTCCAAACAAAACCTTGACGACAACCCACTCCAAACAACTGACAAGCATATCGTCATACCTCGCAGAAATGATAAATCTAACAGCATAAACTGATTTTGTATTAGCTTTTGCCAAGATGGTTATCATATTTTTATAGCATCATTTCAGCTCACCTCTCATTTGCTACATTAGCAGCTTTCATTTTGTTCAGTTCCTCCATCAATTGCTGCTTCGCCTGAATCTCAGCTTGAAGGTTCGACTGCAGGGTCAATATCTCTTGTTTGTCAACTTTCTGCGACCTTCTCATTTGCCACTGGTTCTTTTCACCCTGCAATATTTGCAAGAATAAAATGGAATTAAATTTATTTCCGTGCACAACATACCACACAATATTTCTTAACTAAAGCCAGTAACAAAAAAAAGTTGATTTATCATTTGGGCAAAAGGAAATATTAAAAGATAAATTGCCAACCAAAAAGCTTGTTTCAAAAGCAGGCCACAGGATCAGCTGTGTCTTTTGTATTTGTTTGCTTATTTTAACAAGGGTTTCAATAAAAGTATTTTATCAGGGGTCTACCGCCGCCTATAAGACGCTGACCGCTGTCTGTCGAGCCTACGAGCAGGCACTCGTGTTTGGATTTCACCTTACTGCCCCTTTTTGGGAACAGCTCCCTTTTACGCCCGAAGCTGCCACTGATGGAAAAGTTTTACTGAAACCATTGATTTAAATTGTATTGCTATAGACTATTTAATGACTGATAAACCAATACATACCCTCGGTATTGTAGCATACCCTGAAGATTTCAGGCCATCCAGTTCTTCTGTCATTTTGCTAGCTAAGGCTTGAAGATAACCTCTCGCCTCCTTCTCGTCACTTACCCTTCATTGAAAAATGAAAAAAAAGAGAAAAAAAATTAAAAGAAAACGCCATTTTAATACAGTTAAAGCTGTAATTATTATCTATGTTAAGTACCTTTGTTACGTAACCCTGCATTAGGCACACACTTAATGAGAAAACTGAGTTTCACTTCATTCCAAAAAGTTCGAGCTAACATCATCGTTATTGTTAATTTTTTTTTAATCCAGCAAACGTTATTCTTTTCATCAAAAACAGCCATACGAGAAAGGGTTTGAATCACTCAACCAATTTGTAGTCTTTGACTCCCACGATCAGATTATCAATTCTCCCTTCTAATTGCTGCACATTTCCTTGTAAATTAGTTACGAGAATTTGATGTTAAATCAAGATAACAACTTCTACCTGATCAGTTTGAGTATTCTCGTTACCTGTTTGCTGGATAATGTATGGATATCATGGGGAGAAGATACACGTTAATCAATCGTGTGAAGTTAAAATAAAGCTGAGCTTAAACATACCACTGAATGATCTCAGCTATCTGAGCTTCCCAATGAGCCACAGCGTCTTTCTTCTCGTTGCTGTCCCTCATTTCTTCCTCAAGTTTACGATGAGCAGAGGTAGTACGTTTCAAAGTTTCTGTCATCTGCAACATTCAAAGCAGTAAATAAGAATCAAGTGTACCACTTGGT